GGATATCGAAGAAAGAAAAATTTCCCCCTGCTGATCCAGCCCGAAAATGTCTATATTTTGTTTGAAAAATAAATCGTATATAGGCTTTAAATAGTACTTAAAACTAATCTTAAACGAAGCTACGGACATCTAGGACTTCGATCTTGCCCTTGAATTGACATCTTGTCATTCATTTTTGCGTATTCGTCGGTAAATTAATCAATCATCACATCCTCAGTTGATCATTCCCGAATAATCCCGACGTCGAAATCCTCACTTTTTTGGGGAGGAGAGAGAAAATCTTTTAAACTCTTAAAAATAAATAAAACAAGGATATGCTCCGGATGTAGGATCACCACTTTCAACTGTACGTTTTAAATAATTCCATTAGACGTCGTGGTCCGATTGACCAAATAACTTCATTCAATTAATTAATCTTTATGTAAGGTATTGTTGAGATAAAAAAGTCAGTGTCACGAGCGGGATTAGAACCCACGACCTTCGGCTAAATACGCCGCTGCTATACTACTTGAGCTATCGTGACTTAGCTATTGTAGCTCAAGTAGTAGAGCAGCGGCGTATTTATCCGAAGGGCGTGGGTTCGAATCCCGCTCGTGATACTGACTTTTTTATCTCAACCAATACCTTATATAAAGATTAATTAATTGAAACTTTTAAATAATGTTAGTGACCCCTAGGAGCTGAGAAAAATATATTTTATATGTCATAATTTAACTAATTAAAAGAAATCTTGCCTTTATTGGGCATATATTGTATACCTGTCGATTTTCAAATTGGACGTGGCTCTCCAAGTCTACAAAATCAATTCAAAACTTGTCTGGAATTGCCTAAATGCCCTAAAAGGACCAGAATCTTTGTAAATAGTCTAATCTAATGTTCGTTCGCAGATCATGAGGGAATTTCAGGCAACAAGGCAGCAGAATATTTGCTAAAAAGGAAGCCTTGGAAAAACAGAAGGCCCAAATTCATTTTGTGGCATAAAATAAAGCCACATTTTATAAAAATTGAAATTTTGGGTATCTAAGTAATACAACAAATACTGGGGGCCTAAACCCTGGCATGAGACAAGCAAAAAGACTACTCGAAAAACCAATCCAATGGGAAACTCTAACTGGTATACTCAGAATACATACTCTAGTAAATTACCATATTAAAAACAATGGGATGGGGATAGGGGATAAACGAGGCAGCCACAAGGCCTTCTGCATCTCAACCTAAGTATTTCTATTGTGCTCCCCTGTTTTTTATAACTCAGCCTAAGGTTGTTAATCAACCTTCATAACCTTGCCAGTGGCTCCTTAGTGTAGGATCTTGCTTGTGGTTTTTACAGACCTAGTTGCAAGAACCTGCACCTACATAGACCGTCACAGAAATATAAAATGTGTTCTGCGGTTTCCCTCCTCTTCCTCGCAACATCTGCACAGTGTTTCTTCTGTCTCTATTCCAACTTGGTGCCGCTGTCAGGAGTCCAGCCAGAATCCTTGTTTGGTTGCGGTTGCCTTCCAGTAATTCCTTTGTAAGTTTTGCTGATGACCCTTCTATGAATCTCTTTGCGTGCCTCATGACTGTGGTATTGTTCCTCGAGTTTTTGGACTCATTAAGGATCCATATCGAGATGTATCCTCTTTTGTGACAAGATGCTAGGCTCTGGGTTCAGGACCTAGAGAGTGGCGTTGGCTCACTCTTTGACCAATATATCAGCCTTTTCATTACCTCTATGCCCCAAATGCCCAGGGACCCATGAGAGAGTCAGGTCATTAGTGTTGCTGACTTCCAATAGGGCCTCTAAGCACTCTTTGCCATCACCTTGCATGAGGCTAGGGCCTTTAATACTGCCTGACTGTTAGAGAAGATATCTTCCAGGAATGTATTCTTAGCCTTTTTATTTCCCTGGCGCATTGTTCAATTGCTATGATTTCAGACTGGAAAACTGTAGCATATTTACTACCTAAGTTTACCGTCAATTTAGTCTTTCAATTCATCCCGAAGATTCCAGCCCCCATGCCCTCGTCGGTTTTGGGACCATCAGTGCACCATTAAAAATAATGGGACTATCATCAGAATGTTGACTATGACCAAAAGAGACAGAGACAACGGAACAAATACAACTTCCCTGTGATAGCTAAGAAAATGCTATGGTATCTGGGAAAACCATTCTTGAGCTGTATAGTTCTTGGTATAATAACCCTGAGAAGAATTCTTTACTAAAGAAATGGACAGCTTCCAGAAAATGTATTAGCAGAGTTCAGCCAAATAGGGGAAAACGCAAGTTTTAATTAATCATTAATCTTTCGGTCCAATAAATCTTTTATCAACACTTATACAATAAAGAAGTAATTTATACATCATAATCAATTTTTAAAACAATATTGTAATGATTTTTTCAAGATTCAGTGTACTTTTTTTTGCAGAACTCCATCATCAAATGTTGTACATTAATGAAACCTTTAGTTCCAACTGATTTAAACTTGGTTATACTTGGGAGCCATTTCACTTACTATTTAAAATTATACTGACCTAATAACTACTACTTCTACTACTAATACTAATACTACTACTACTACTACTACTAATAATAATAATAATAATAATAATAATAGGACTATAAAACGTGTAACAAACAAGAATTTCCGCTCCGGGAAAAAACCGAAGTTTTGAGGTATATTGGTTTAATAAGTGTATGACAGTGGTGTGTTGTGGAAACTAGGACGTCCCTTTGTCAGCCCAGCGTTTTTTGAAGTGTTTTTTGGTGAGGTGAGTTCAACTGGATAAGTTTTTTGGACGATTAGACAAGTCTGCTGGGTGCTAGTTTGTAGCTCGCATTCCCTATTGGGAAGTGTTGGGAAGTGTGGGGCCTGAATCTCTCTAGAAACCTAGTTTCAGGGTTGGGCAAGATTTATTTATTTAGTTTTTCTCTTTTTATTTAAACGCCATCTGTTTTTCAATTTTTCAAAATTTCCCAAAATCATTTCAAAGGCCCTACGTCCCTTCGTCAGTCTAGTGTTTTTTGGTGAGGTGAATTCAATTGGATAAATATTTTGACGATTAGACAAGTCTACTGGATGTTAGTTTGTAGCTCGGATTCCTATTGGGAAGTGTGGGGAATGAATCTCCCTAGAAACATGGTTTCAGGGTTGAGTAAGATTTATTTATTTAGTTTTTTTTAATAATAATACTATTTACAATGACAATAATCCTAATATTATAATTTACATATAATGGAAAAAAGGAACCAGCTAACATGAGGATGATATCTATAGGCTTTGTTAAGGTTTCTTTTCTTCTCATTATATGTAAATTATAACATTAGAATAAGGCTGAAGATGCTTGTAATGTAAACAAAGGCTTCCCAAATAAAATAAAGTTTATATCAGTTGTAATTAAAAGGCTTAAATTATATTTATTTATTTATTAATGAAGATAAATATGCCCCTAATGAATAATTGAAACATACATTTTAAAATATAACAATAATTAAAAATATAGACATATTCAAAAATTACAAACACAGATAAACATTGTAAGTATTGTGTATAAAAGAAGTGACAAGAAATTATATATGATTTAATGAAATAACAGAAATATAGGAACAAATCAAACACAATTTCCCTGATTCATATTTGCTAAAAAATGTTTAAATTTACTTAAGGAGAAGTAGAAAGTGTCACAATTTAAAGGAAGTTTATTACATATTCCCATGCATTAAGGAATCGGGTACTAAATTTTGTACTGTAATTAGATTTTGTAAATAATATTTCTTGTCTGGTATTACACTGTAACATGGAAATTCAGTAAATTGATTAATTATGGACAGCTTTTCGTATTACTTAAGATCTTGTAAGTAAATATCACACCGCTACTTTGTCAACATGTGGATTTCATAAGAAGTTCATAAGATGGGTCCAACTATGTTCTAGTAATTCTAAACCAGAGAGTTGTAGTAAATCAACAAATTACTTAGCATTTTCTGATGTGGTGAGCAAACAACTGAACAGTATTCTAAAATGGGACAGACCATTGCGTTAAAAAGTACATTCATTCTGCATCCTTAAAATTTTTTGTACTTTGAAACCTAAAATTTGATTAGCCTTATTAATTATTGTAAAAGACAACACTGTCCAAACTATAATTAACTTTACACTTATTTTCATTTAGCTGCTTGAACACCACTTTACAAGATCATTTTAAGCAATTTTCAGAAGCTCAGCATCATGAATGGAAGTTATAGCGGTATATATTATACACTGGTCATCAGCAAAGAGGGAGAATTCGACTGAGAAAAAATAAGTAAATATCGTTACTCTCAAAAGGAACGAGCTGTGTAACGATCCCTGATTCAATTCTACAATATTGTAATAGAAATAGAGAATAGAATGGCGTGTGACAATTTTATTCAGAACACACATCATTAGTGACTTTTTAAATTGCATAATGATCCGAAATTCATTATTGTCACTGCTCAATCTCTTCGTTTGTAGTTCATGCACATAGTTATAATGCATAAGAAATAATCGTGTGCCTATTGTGCGTTTCTAAACTTTGTAGTTGTTTTTCACTCTCTTTATCAGTAAGTTTTGCTAGGTTGGTGATTTTTTATTTAAAAAGAGGTTTATGTTGTTTTAATTTTTTTTTTAAGAGAACCGTGCCATCATTGGGCACCAATTGGTTTCCATATTTACAATTTTTTCATTATTTATTATTATTTTATTTAAATTAGTTAGAAATTACAATGGTTTCCAAGGTTTATGTTTTATTGAGCAGCTTTAAAAAAACAAGTGATGTTGGGTAAAGGGGCCTTGAATTCCTGGCCAAGGTTTTCTCGGAAATCAAGGACCTTCACAGTCCAAAATGCAATATCAGCTAATCTGTCATAATCGTCCAAAATCAATCGAAATAAGCTAGATTTAATTTTAAATAATTAAAAGTTGTTTTTTTTTAAATGAAGTCGAGATGTCAGCATTTTTCAGAAATAAATCGATTGGCTTCGCTTTCCCCACTCGATTTGGTAACACTAGTTATCACACCCACTTTGGCAAGTTTGGTGATTGCATATCTGTTGTCTGTTTGCTATTTATTAATCTCGAATAGCATGACTTCTCTTTCAAATCACGTCGACGATTCCATTCAACACAATCCCATTGTTTTAATTATCCACCTTTTATTTGACTCTTAGCATTTAGAAATAAATATTAACATTTATCATTATTCAATCATGTTTTGATATAGAATAGTCTTTGAACAGTTTCACTTTGTAAACTTCATTGTACAGCTGTGTTTTCATTTTATTCATAAATAAAATTAGCTGGATTAATATTTAAAAAAACATTCTGGTGGAATTTGATTTAATTTCTTAACAAGAGCTTCAAACATGAGGAAGAATATATTCTTGGAAAAAGTCATACTGCTCGGGTTCGGAGGGGTCCTGTTTGTACTGTTCTGCACCGTATCAATTGCATGGCCTTTGTTCTTCTTCTCGCAGCTCAAGGAAGTAAGTAGTTACAATTATAAACCTCACACTTATCTACTTACATTGAATAAATGTGCACGTATATATCCAAGATTTTATGAATTTGTAATATTAATATTCGAACAACTCTGGAATTTTAGCATCTACTGTAATTTATGCTGGGTGTTGGTATGCAAGCCGGTGGACTCATGCTCCAACCGGCACTGGCCACTTATTGGATTCCGACTTCACTCGCGGGTTTATAGAAATACTCAAACGTGTTTCAAAATTATACCATCTTCAGTGATGAACTCTTCGCTCTTCAGTTCATCACTGAAGATGTGCAATGCCGAAATGCATTTGACTAGTTCAACAAACCCGGAAGTAAGGACCCAGTAAGCCGGTTGCAGCAAGTTCTACTGTAAGTTTTATTATTATTTTGTAGCCTGGTTGTCGCCAATTATTTATCTTGGTCTACCAATTCTTGGCTTTATCAGAAGTATTTCGACATTTTGCCATCTTTAGTAGTTTGTGTGTTGCATTGAGTGTTTGTTGACAATCCATTAGCTGTACTCACTGAAGAGTATATACAAACACAACTCAACACCCATTGAAGATAGCAAAATGCCGAACCGCATCTGATAGACAAGCCAGGGAGAAAAGACAGGCCGAGATGATTAGTGACAAACAAGCTCATTAACACGCAGATTTCTGCTTTACAACAACAAATAAAAAGCTTGTTATGTGTAAACTGATAAAAACTTACAATGTTAACATGGATTTGGTGTTCAATTTAAGCTTATGACTTTATAACTAGAGCCCAGATTTATATACAATAACAATCCTCAAATATGCTATACAATGTACACTAGATACGATGAACTAAATCTTGGCATAACGGTGGTTGTTGACTAACTACCAGAACATTTAAGTCCGCAGGGTAAGGCCGGTACGTCCCAGCCTCTTGGATAAGATCACCGCAATCTAGCCCTCTGATGCTAAAAATACATTAAAAAATTATGCAAATGAAAATAAAGTGGTAGCATCAGTGGGCAGGGTTGGCAGAGAAGTTCTCACGTATCAAGAGTACCATCAATACGTGGCCCAAGGAGGATCTGACTCCTAGAAGAGCAGTCACCCAATTTAGAAAAAGAAAATTTCAATTTAGAAAAAGACATGCGAGGTTGAACGGACACTTACTTTTGGACCAAAGCCCCCCCACGCATGTGTCATACAGAGAAAGTTTGCTAGATTGAACTTGAAGGTTGGAACTCATTGTCTCCATATAGACAGCGCATAGGAACAACACCCGATATGAGAATTTGTATTTCCCTTGTTACAATTCTTAGAGAAAACAGGATTTTTTTATTGTATGTATTGGTTTTTTATATGTGTTGAGAGTAAATGTATTTATTGGTGTGAATATGAAGTGTGAGAGGGCCGATAGCAGAATACTTAGTACCACATCAGCCCTCAATTAGATTAATTATGAAATAAACTATCTATTGACTATAGTAGCAACCTCAGTGGCTAGATGGATAAGATCAAGGTCTGATATCGGACTGCTGCCTACCTAGGTTTTTTTTTAAAGGAAATAGGACAAAAAATCTCAGTCTCACAAAAATCATATAATTTGAAATATTGAAAATAAATAATTAAGCTTAATCAAATATAATCTCTTAATAAATCCATTATGTTTAGTGGTCTCTTTGACCAAATTACTTATTTCAATTAATTATTCTTTTTATGTATAGTCTTGGTTGAAATGAAAAAATAATTGAAATAAGTAATCTTTTAGGTTTAAAGTGGGATTGTTCAGCTAAAAAGAACCAAATATTTTGTCACTTTTTTATTCTTAGTACACATTTCAAAGTGTTTTGCTCCTTTTTCATAATCTGAAATCACATTATGTACGATTGTCAGTGAGGGTGTAAGTCCACAACTCAGGAGGGAAGTAAGAACCTTTTATTTTGGCAAGAAAAACGTGCTGAGTGAAGAAATTAAGCGTCCCTGCATCATCTTTGTTTTAAATAATCCCGCTTTGCTGATTATGTACTAAATTTAAAAATATATCAATCAATTTGAGAAAATTCTCTAATTAGGAGCACCTTTACTTTTTTTAAAAAATATATCAATCAATCTGAGAAAATTCTCTAATTAGGAGCACCTTTACTTTTTCGTTTTGCCACTATATATTGTTGTTACTTTTTGTTTAAGTTACAACAAACTCAGCAGATGTCTAAACTATTGTTTAAAAAACCTTATAAATTTTATGAATATTTGTAAGGTTTTAATATTATTCTATTTTAACACATTGTTTATGTTTGTTCCTAGAAAGTTAACTAACATCTGATTCAAATTTTAGCCCCTTGTTTTGTTTTTCCTCATGCCATTAGTTGCCTCATTTATTTTTATTTTTTTAAGTAATCAAAATGTTTCAAATTTGTATTATCGTTCAAATAAGCAAAATTATTGCAATATTCTTCAAAAGTGCAGAATAAGATTTGAATCATTGTACCGTAGAGGTATGATTCGGATAAATGTCTGGTCAACATGGCTGAAAGTGTAATACAAATAATATGCAATAGCATACAAATCCGGGTCCTATTTATGACATAACATTTAATATCTCATGTTCTCATTTTATTTCATGGAATATGTTCTTCATATAGTCACAATGAAGTTGTTTTTTTTTTTTTTTTTTGGGGGGGGGGCATTTTGCGGTCTTATATTACAAAGGTCAAAAAAATTATCTTATCACGAAACAGACCGCTTGATAGTACAATCTAAAACAAAAGTAAATCTTTTCTATCCACATAACTAATTTTTTTGGTTCAAATAAATAAATAAATAAATGGTTCAAGAAAGATATAAATGTACGATTAAAAAAAATTATTCTTTTTATGTAAGGTCTTGGTTGGGATGAAAATTTTAGTGTCACGAGCGGGATTTGAGCCCACAACCTTCAAGACCTTACATAAAAAGCATAAAAAGATTAATTAATTGAAATAAGTAGGTTGGTCAATTAGACCACTAAACATAAATGGATTTTTTTAAATGTTAATCCCATTAGATACAATGTGGGTGGAAAGTGATGAATTACTCAAGTACTCCACTACCCCAATTGAGTAAATGGAATGTCGATAAAAAAGAATGCATTTGGGTGAGAGCATGGGTTTGAATCTAGAAACTGATTGTGTTGGAGCCGAACATGCCCAACTTAAGTGACTGGAGGTCTGACCCCAGTCTGCTAATACCTGGGGTGGATGATTCTATTGAAAGTGCTGGGAAAAAATGGAATTGCCTAATTGAAAGTGACTAAGAAATGATAGGCTCAGTTCCCAGTTCTGTACACATGTTTATATATGTAAATCAAGCTCAGAATTAAGCTTACATAAATCATTAATCCATTAATCCACCATTTTGTTAAAAGATGGCTTTTTTTAAAACTTACTTACGTCTTATTTATACTTGGGTGATTCATCATTTTGATTATAGTTAATAAAGTGTGTGTTGTTTAGTGACGTTAATTACTGATCATTTGGAGATTGTGAGATGCGGTCTGATGTGATGTAGGCTTAGAAAAACATTTTCTTTGCAGTGCCGACGTTTCAATCTTTATTAAGATCATCTTCAGTGCTCAAAGTGTTTGTTTTCTGTGTAGATGTGTTATTACTGTGTACTGTGTTGAGTGTGCCCACTTGCCCCGAGGGCAGCCTCAACACTAAACTGCATCTCACGGTCTCCAAATGATCATAGTTCACAAATGTCATACAAGTTCTTTGTGGCAGAGATTTATCCATTACGATGGTTTTCTAATTGATTACAATATAAAAAATGTATTGTGAAGTGGTTTGACCTCTTCTCTTTGATAGATGAAAGTTAAGCTCTCCATAAGTAAGGGATTACATTACTTTTATTACAATTATTCAAATGTTTTCATTTTTTTCATAATTTTATTTTTAAACATAGTTTTGGTCGAAATATAAATAATCATTTTATGTATTTGGCACCTTTGTGCCCGATATTTGATGCCATTGTGACAACTTGAACTTTTGAAGAAATACTTGTACTCATTGGAGGAAGTGTGCCATGGAAAAAGTGGTAACCAGAAGGTGGAAGATCTGGGCTGTAATGCTGGGTGAGAAAGACAATTCCAACTCCTTGATTTTTGGTTTCATAGTCTTGGAGGTGTGTAGTCTAGCGTTATCTTGTTGGAATAGGACTTGTATTCTATTCCCCAGGGCTTAAGCTGTGTACTCTCTCAACTTGTGCTGAACGAACTTTTGAGGAAAATGCTCGCTTTTCAGAGACTGACCAACATAATACTAAGATCTTTTGTTTCCCAAATTGTTCTGTTTTAGTAAGTAGAGCTGACTGTCCTGGCTTAAGCTGTTCATTTTGATTGTTAGGGTTTTTTTGCAATTTTCTACCTTTTTTTTTTTTTTTTTTTTTTTGTAACATGTAAACAATGTTTGTAAATCCCAGGCCCTGAAGATGATCTCAATAAAGATCGAAACGTTGGCACGATAAAGAAAATTTTTTCTGAAACCTACATCACACCAGACTGCATCTCACGATTTCTAAATAAATATCGATTAACAGTCATTAATCACCACACATTTCTGCCCTTTGTTCTGCTAGTTAACGTCTAATTATGTGGTACTCTTCTTCATATTAATTAAATGTTATGCAAGTGCAGGAAAACTTTACTTTGTCATTCTCCAATTTCTGAAGAATTGCTGTCCTTGTGCTCTTAAGGTTGTCACTCGTTACAGTGTCCACACCGATGTGTGTTCTCCAGGGTAAAATCTTCTTCCTTGAATTTCCTGAAAGTCCCTTTATTTCAATTGCCCCAAAAGGGAGGAACTTTTTCCTTGAGAAAGGGCATAACTGCAATTTGGCTGCAGAGGTCGTTAAGTTATTTCTCATTGCCCAGTCCTTAAATCTTGCAAGACCTCCCTTTAAGGTTTTCATATTCATTTCTATAAACATATGTTTTACACAGAAGCAGGCATTTCTGGCCTATTGAGTAATAACTCAGGAGGAAGTTTTAGTTCCTGATCGGACTAACTTATTTATTCATCAATTAACAAAAAACGTTTTCGACTCATCCTAGTATTATATAAAAATATTTTTATTCAGCAATATTCTCATATATACAATCATCAATGATAGTTTTTAAGTGTTGCCTTTAAAAGGAAAGTAATTCCTGACATACAGGTAGGCTTGACATCCAACTACCTGTTTTGGATGCCTACAATAAGAAAATTTTTGTTAGAGACAAAGAGGAAATCACAGAGGATGAGTCATTATGGTGTTTTCATTATATTTTTGGTTTTAGTTTTATATGAAAATTATTGAGAAAAAACTTCAGCTCTTTCCAATCATTTTCATATAAAATGTCAAGATTGATTCGAACCCAAAACATCATAATGACTCATCCTTTGCGGAGAGCAAGAGGGCACTCTTTGTCTTTAGCAAGCACTTTATTATTGATAATATAGCCACAATTCTATAAATGTTTTTGATTTTAAAAGAATTTTGTTAATATTCAAAGCTACTTATTTCATTAAAAAAAGCATTTGTCATTATCCAATATGTCAAATCTAAACCCTTCATGCAAATCTGGATGTCATATTTTGGCAAAATGAGATAAGTGCACATTCCTGCAAGTCTTTCGGCCTGACATTCTGTATAAAATATTTAAAGTCAGAAGAAAAGCACTTTCTTTTAAATAAAATGTGGTTTTTTTTAGACACCTTGAAAAGTTACATCAGCATTTTGATAATTATACTTGTCTTTGTAAACCCAGCTGATATATTGAAATAGAATAAGTGGGTTTACTTATACTTTTACGAATATTTGTCTAGGTGCAACAAATATATGTTTTTTACTTGTTTTAACATTTGTTTTGTTCATAACAAGCAAATTAGTGCACTTGTCTCAGTAACAGTTTTTTATACAATAATATAACAATACAATAATACACAATACAATAATACTTCACTTATTCTGTTTTACTGGCCTCACAAATCAAAGGTATCAAATATCTGTAATAAGAGGTGTTACAATAAATGGTGTGCCCTAAATGTGTGTTAAAACTAGATAACTGCATAAATGGTTAAACATGTAGCATGATAATTAAAAATCAAAATATCAATCAAAAATCAACAAAAAAACTTGGACAACTAAAAGTTGTTACAAAAATTGAATTTGAACCAAAGGTCTTAACTTTAAAATCGCAATCCTGAACATTTTTTTGTTGCTGTTTTCTTACTTATCCAGTTTTGCCTCAAGGGTGCAGAAATAACAGGAAAAATTCTGATTTAATTTGGACTTATAAATGATTAAATTTATTTAAAGAATTCATAAACGCACAAATTTTCAGCAATTAGTTCTTACCAATCAGTCAAAGAGCTATACTCTCTGGAAAGACACACCAATCCCTATGTACTTAGAGATATACATGTTCAACTGGACTAATCCGGAAGAGACTTTGAAAAAGGGCAAAACCCCGCATTTTGTCGAGATGGGACCGTACGTGTTTAGGTATGCTGAGACTACTTAATACACACTAGAAATTTTCTTATAATTTTTTTGCACATTTAGTGAGACGCACAAAAAAGTGGATGTCAATTGGAACGATGACAATGAAACGGTTACTTTTAAACAAATTAGACAGTGGAAATTTATTCCTGGCTTGTCCAACGGAAAGCTTGATGATGAAGTCACAAATGTCAATGTTGTAGCCCTTGTAAGTAACACTTGGACTTTAATACTAAGTATTTGCATATAATAAAAGTTCTTTTCTTAGACAATAGCTAACATGGTCAAAAAATACATTGATAGCAAGACTATAGAAATACCTGTAGATAAATTGTTTTCATTCTATGAAAAAAAAGTTTACATAAAAAAACCTGTGAGGAAGCTGTTGTTTGACGGTTACAGTGATGAACTCCTCAATATTGCAGAAAAGCTGAAACATATAATTAAAGTGAAAATTCCTTTTGATAAATTCGGATGGTTCTATTCTGTAAGTATGAGTTGCTTGATTTTTTTTTTTTTAACATTCTTTTTCATGCATGTAATTTTTTATTAGAGAAATAATTCAGCTGATTACGATGGAGTGTTCAGCATAAACACGGGAATGGATTGTTTGTATCGACTTGGCCTCCTGGAGGATTGGAACTACAACACGCATACAGACATTTACAGTGGAATATGTGGTCAGGTTAGCGGGACGTTGGGCGAACTCTGGCCTTATGACGCATCAAAGAAGGAAGAAATAGAAATATTTGCAAATGATATCTGCAGGTCTGGCAGTTTTGAATGATAAATGATAATGCTAATTAATCAGTTATTTTAGGCTTTATCAATATCTGTCATGGAAATACTTTAACCCTTTTCATTAATGATTATGTAATCCAAGGATTTACGAATTTTTTAAGATGACAAAAAGGCCCGAATAGTCTTAACATGCCAAAAACTTAGGAAAAGAAGACACAAAATAAATTGTTTTATTTAAAAAAATTTGTCATGTTGACGTTACAGGGGCAATGCAAACTTGCCCAATTTTAGCAATGGGAGTGGCCTGGTTGCATGGCATATGAAAATTCTCAAAGTGAAAACTCTTAGGGCAAAATAAAATAAAGCCGGCCCAAGAGTAAGAGTAAGCCAAAATAAAATACTAAAAAAGATAAAAATACATGAGTTGGCTAAAAAAAAGTTAGACAAAATGATATTAAAATCCAATTGAACTCAATGTACAACACACTTTAAAAAGGGATTAGAATGTACACAGATTCTCTTATTCTCAAACAACTCATGGGTTTATTGAATTACTCAAACACATTTTGGCATTGCGCCATCTTCAGTGAGTATCTACAACCCAGTACTCAAGTTCATCAATTCGCAGACTACCGAATATGCCCACTTCCTGGGAAAGTAATCAGGCAACTCTGATGTGTGGATACCAGGACATGAGGGGATAAACAGGCTGGCAAACTAGAAAAAATTGTAGAAGCCCTCACACCCTTTGGACCTGAACCACAAATTGACACCCCTAATGGTGGTAGCCAAAGATAAAAAGTGAACCTGAACAAATGTCAAGGAAGAAATGACCACACACCAGATTTATTCACCAGGTGCGAAATACTCAGTTCTTTGACATCTCAACCAGAAAACAAAAATCCATATTTCTCTCAGTAGGCAAGCATTAAGCAAAATAATACTTAATAGCAACTTAATACTGGTCAATGCCCATTCAAATACTCAAACAATGGGAAAAACTGAGATATCTATCAACTGTGTCTTGAATAGGTAGAAACATCAGAACAAATTCAATGTAACTTCAAAATTTTAGACCAGAAATGATACCACCTCTTCAGAAAGGTGGTACAATACCAAAGAAGAACTTGGGAAAGTTCTCAACAACCTTAAAGTAGTGCACTTTCCAGGGGTTTTTTCTACATTATATCTTTTAGGTTACAGAGAAAGAAATTGAGACTAAAGTCGTAGTGATTGCAAAAAAAGAAGACCCAAAAGCAACAAAAATCATTTTGACAAAATAAGTCAAAGCTTACTTTATTAAAAAACATTTGTATATGTCAATAGTCGTTCTTAACAACTGTCAGAAAGAAGTTGGATATGTGTAATCATCAGTGTAATCATTTTTTTTTTAATTTTTAGTTCGATAAAATTAAAAAGAAACTCTACCCAAACAATCCAAGGAGTTGAAGGTATACTTTTTGAGGGAGATGAAACTGTGTTCGACAACGGGCAGATAGTTAGGGAAAACGCCTGCTACTGTTCGAACAGCAATTTTGCTTGTCCACCTCCCGGGACGAGGGATATCTCCACATGTCGTTACGGAGCTCCTGCATTCATTTCATACCCACATTTCTACCTCGGCGATAAGTACTACCACAAGGCCGTATCAGGAATGAAACCAGATCCACAAAAGCATAAATTTTACATTGTGCTCGACAAGGTATTTGACCGTTACTAAAACGTTGGTTTTATTATAGTAAAAATATACTTTTCAGACTATGAGCATCCCTCTTGAAGTTCATGCGAGGCTTCAGATAAATATTTTGACGGAAAATTCATTTGGGTTAAAGTAAGTTTTATTTTTATTTTTTCATTTATAATTTTTTTTTAATTGTATTTTTTCTTGTGTTAAGATTTTTTGAAGATTTGCCGACAGCTTACATGCCGATGATCTGGTTCAACCAAAAGGCGGTGATCACGCCAACGCTTTCGAGCCAAATTAAAAGCATCTCCTTTTTTGACGATAACCTTGAATACATCTTTATCGGGCTTGCCCTATTTGGGCTTATCCTGACACTCTTAGGTATATTCCTTTGGGGTCGAAGGGTCTATATCCAAGAGCCCAGCCCATCAACATCGTTACTCTGCAATTCTGATTCAACTGAAAATATTAGTTAAAAACTTTTTTTTAATTGTATTTTTAGAATAAGAAATCAATTGCTCATGCGCTATATAATATTAGATCTTTTGATTTACGAACAAAAGCGAACCAGTCTTGTTCCTTATATATTTAAAAAAAAATATAGTATTACTAATTGATTTTATATTGTACAGGAATACAGGAAAACTAGGTAGTAAAAAATAAATTTTCTGTAAGTTTATTAGTGCATGAAATATTTGTCTTTATGATGATAAAAAAACTTAAAATAAATTATTATACTTAAGTAAATAAATGATTTGTTTGTAATTTTATACACTTAAATTTCAAATGCTGTGCAATTTGTGTTATAAAAAGAAGCAAGTTTTTAATTTGTCCATTATTTTAAACAAAGTACTTTAATGTTAGATGTAATAACCATGTTTTTTAAATTTATAAGTGGCAATTGACTATTTCCTAAGAGAAATTACTTACCTAATATTTTATTTGTATCACATGAATATTAAACTATACTTAACACCTTTAGGAAAAACAAAAATGTGGATATTAAAAACTTTTCCTAGTATGATTTTGGACTGTTGAAATTAACTTTCAATAAATAAAATATTATTGTTTAATCCAGTAAAAATCTTTGAATTAATTATATCTTGATATTTATGAGTTACTGTCTTAGTTTATAAATTTTACCATGCTTTGCGGACAATAGGTAGGCTGATGATAGTCAATCAGACTGCATTTAATAAAAGTTTAATAATAAATGTAAAGAAAAATGGTAGATTGAATTACCTTAGATAATGCTTGCATATTAATAAATTTTTGTGATAAATTTTCATAAAGAGTTGTATAAATTGATATTTTGTTTAAATTTTACAGTAAAAAAACATATTTCCCATGATATGCATTAGGTGTATCGGGTTAAATAAAACTGTGATAAATATTTACAACATTTTTTTATTACAAACCTTGCATGTCATAATATTATTGTACATTTACTAAAATATCTACGACTAAACATCCAATTAATGAATTCCCTGGTTTCCGTAATTATAAAAAAAAGAAACTAGTGTTATTAAAGCTATAAACATCAGTTTAATTAGTCTTCAGTCCTTTTCTATTGGGTTGTCCGGAAATAAATGCAGGTTTTCTTTTAATTACCCCTCTATATTATTACGGATTATTTTTTTGTGTGAATATCAACCTTATTAATACTCTTCCAAACAGAAACGTTTGTTTACCTTAGTAGCATTTCTTTATTTTGGAATAATTCGGACTTTACTAAGATGTCAACATGTGATTTTCGTGTAATTTCATTTTACGAATTTAAACTCAATCGGAAGGGTGCTCAAATGGCTAGAAATACTAATGAAGTCTGGATGATGGCATTGTAGGTGAGAGCCCAGTTCAGAGATGGTTTAAAAAATTTTGAGGGAGATTTTAGCCCTGAAGACAAAGAAATTGGTGAAAGGATTTCTTCCGTAGATGATGTTCTGCGAGCTTTGGTCGAAGAAAATCCTAGAACGGCTGTTCGAGAGATCAGTAGAAATTCTTTCAGTTAGCAAATTGTCTGTTAACCACTTTAACGCAATTGGAAAGGTGAAAAAGCTCGAAAGTTAGGTTCTTTATGCATTAAAGACCTCAAAAAAAATAAATAAAATAATCTGCTATGAAATTTGCACAACACTTCTTTGCCGAATCTTTTCTGGATAGAATTGTAACTTGTAATGAAAAAGAGATTTTGTACGATAACAACAGACTTTCTGGACAGTGGCTCGACAAAGGAGAAGCAGTCCCCAACTCATCAAAAAAAGGTGGTGGTGACTGTAGTGAGCTTCATTTAGGCTTTACTTCTTGAATCCTGCCGGAACAATCAATGCCAAAATCAGAAAAGGCCAATTTGACGACCCATGCCTCACATGTGGCATGAAAAGTGTTGGATGTTGGTTATGAGGTTCTGCAACACCCTCCCTATTCTCAAGAACTCTCGCCTACCTACTACCATTTTTTCAGACACTTGGACAACGTTCTACAACATACAAACTTTATTGGTCAAAAATAGTTAGAAAATGCGTTAACAGAATTTGTTAATAATAAAGGCTCAAAATTCTATTTAGAGGGTAGAGCGAAGTTGCTATCACGTTGGAAGAAATCTATGAGAAGTTATAGAAGGTATGTTAATAAATAAAAAATGCTTAAAATCATTTATTTGTTTTTATTTTATAACCATAAACCTGCATTAATTTCCGTACAACCCAATATCATTACAAAAGAAATTTTTAACAAATTTTAAACTCAAATAATATAATAACTCAGAAATTGTAGACAAAACTTTAGTTATTCCTCAGCAATTAATACAAATTTTATTTTAAAAAATAATTCAATTACGTAAATAATATCACAGAAAAATATGAGTTTTAATTGAATTGAAATGTTAACAAACAAAAGTACAAAATCAAAGGTCAACAAAACAGGAAATCGAAGATTTCTGATCATTTGTAAACAAAAGTTAATATCTAAATCAAGTAAACGCGGAAATAGTGTTTGTTCAATTATGTCAATCTGTCCAAAGTAGAACGTTTACTTGAAAGCTAAAATGTAAAAATAACTCAAGAGCTAAGATAAATTTACATACAAAGAACCCTTGAAGTCTTATCAAATGAGCAATTTATAAAAAACATTTATTTCCAGAAAAATATGAAAACACTAGCCTGTTGAAAAAAAGACAAGCTCAATCCATTTACAAGAGACTTCATGCCTGGGTAGACAGTATAGGCAACTTATGCATTAGTTTTTTCCGATTATTTTTATCGTCTGTTTTGATCAGTCAGGTGCGTTTTGACTTTTTGCAATGTTCAGTTGTGGTTTAGTGTAAATTTTTGTTTTCACAAACCAACTCTTGAAGGGTAAAACATCGAGGTTAGGCAGACCAAAATGATCAGAAAAAGGTTCTTCACCCTGCAGACCTTAAGGAGAAATCTCACAATTTAAGTCAGAAAAATTGCTAATTATATTTAAACACTTGAAAAATCAATTTTAACAGAAAAATACAAATACATCTTTTTTGTGCAAATAATAGTTGTAGATTATCCTAGTTGGAAACAATTAGAGGTACATCATTAAAGAAAATTAGCACTAACTCAGCCATCAGGATAGACGAATCGTTATAACTGGGAACTATTAAAGGAGAGTTACCGAATTTGGCAAAAAATCTGGATCTCAATTTACAATTGTGCCAAACTATTTGCCACATTTCAAATTAATAGTAAAATAACTAACCCCTTCTCAGATTATTAGCATATCCACCAAAAAGAACAACCTCCTCGGCTGCTTGGACTTGTTGGATTGAAAGACTGCATTGTCAGTCAAGGGGCTTAAACTGACTCAATACAACAGAGTCCACCTGCTAGAGATCGTTACCATTCTCTTAATTAAAAAAGGGGTTAAATGTTTAAGACCCCCCCCCCCAGCATTGAAAGGTATTGTACATACCCCAGAGAAAGGAGAGGAAGACTAATTAATAAAAAATAAAGGTAGCCCAAGTCAGGACCAAAATTGGTCAAACGGAGGACGAAGGTTGCTTTTATTTCAATAGAATTTGAATTTAAAAAAGATAAAATAGGGGAAATGTAGCAGATGCAACAGGTGGAAAGAAGAAGAGTAAACGTGGAGTGGAGTAAGATAAGAGGGCAACAACTGGAGATAAATTGTAACCAACAGGCCCAAGGCGGCAGACTCGGAAAATGTTGGCATTTCGCCAGATTTTCCTTCTCATGTGCCGCCCAGGTCTGCCATCAAGTGTGAGTAAAGAAGTCGATCTCAGTACAGCAGGCCTGAGGCCATAGACAGAGATGATGTCATTGGTTCATTAAATTGTTCTTACTTAAGTCAAAGCCATCCTGGATTAGGTACTGAATATATGTTGTAAACATTTTCTAACAAATTTATTTTAATATAGGTCTTCTTCACAGTCATTGTCTGATCCTTTTCACTGTACGATCAAGAGCATAGTCGTATATTTCATTATAAAACCTCCAAAAATAATTTAAGAAATGTATCTGATGCACACTGCCAACTTAGACAAAGGGCATTAGCCGAACAGGAAAAGATGGGATTAGTAGTGAACCAAGATTGTAAGGTGCATGATGAAACTGCCTACAATGACTACAAGTTATTCAGCAGAGACTATGTATTAATTGTGTCGACCCCCACCCATAAAATGAGAATGACAACTGTGCAATAACTAGTGACCTCAATAAACACTCTCCATAAAAAGGTCATGATGCTTTTGATATATGTAAAGGCATCCAAAAGAACAAGATAAGCCTTCACATACACCACGGACTGCATTACCCATAAAAGGGGACTCCTGATAGAAAAGTAGGCGTTGTGAGCATATTTGCCACAAGGATTTTATTCGAGAATGGTCCTCCTAAATAAAATTTCTGTTCATTCATTGGCAAGAAGGTTTAAAAATAAAGAAATAAAAAATATTTTTGAAAGGTGAAAAATAGTTTAAAAATCAATTCCATGTGAGTTTTAAATGTTTTTGTATACAGTAAGTTACCTGATATGCTTAAAATATTAACTTAAAAAAAAAATATGTATACAAATATTCCAGTCATTTGACATATGTGCTAAGCTAGATTTTTTGTTTTTGGAACATTTAATCTTTTTTCCTTAAATTTATCAACCTGGAAATAGATAGTACACACAACCAATAACAAACGAGTTTGTTCACAACATATCACTTCATCCATTTCACAAGAATGGATATACATTATAAAAATATATTTTTTTATTTTTTGTTCTAATAAGTCTTAGATAGAGAGACTAGCCAAAAAACATGGGCAAAATGTAACCCCTCGCTCTTGTTTAAATTTAACAACCTTGCTTCACTTACTTGAATTTAAAAGTGGGAATATTTTTTTTTTTAAGGTTAAACTAGTATTTGTTAAAACCTTTGAGTTCAACGTACGGTGGTTGGAGCATTAAGACAGCATACTCTTCGTTTGAAAATGCAAGATGAAATGGGAAATTTCCGAGGAGGAGTTGATGGCATGTTGGTGGCCTACCTCTGTTTTTTGGATCTTCTATATCCCAGATGTCAGTCATACCACAACCAGCTCTAAAATTTAAAAAATGCACTGAAATAAAAACCAATTTTTTTTTTTAAATAACTGTACCTGCTCTGGCCAAAGCACCATGACTCAGAAATTACTAAATAGTCAACTTCCAAAGAAGATATTATTTTAAAAACGTCTTCGGGAGGTTTTCTGCTGAAAGCAGTGTACACTTTTTTTGTTCTTTCCCTGTTGAAGAAATATTGATTAAGTTTAGCAATTTCATTTTTTAACGATGTATTGTATCATAAAATAAGTCTGTAACATTTTTCGATTGAAATACAATGAAAATTTCAGGTTCTTATAAACAAATTTAATGAACAATAAAAAGTAAAAGTTAAGTAATTCCTATCATACAGGAGGGCTTGTGTAATTACCAGTTGATTGTTGTGCACAAGGTAGTTAAACCACTTTACTAACTAAAAAGCCCCAGAAACACTAGTGCGGCAAATACGAGTTAAACACCCTAACAACTTGGCCAACTTGTCTCCAATTTAATCAATGATTTATAAACAAATTATTTTGTTCCATGACCTGTTGCCATGTTTATGAAATTTTGTAATTCTGTCCTCGAACTTCTCAGGTTTTTGAGCAAACAATTCGTGTTTCTGCAGTCCTCAACTGACATAAAATCTTTGTCATTAATGGAGTTTTTCAGATCCTGGAATAAATAAAAATCTGACGAGGCAATGTCCCATGATTACACAGGACGTAGGACATTCCAGCCAAATTCCCACAAATTCTGGCATATCTGTAGAGACATGGGCAAGCCTTATCCTGGTGAAAAACAATCCCTTTGCTTCAAAACAAAAAGTCAATGATAGTCAATTGCTGTCAATTTTTTTTTTTTTTTTTTTTGGCGTTATGAACTATGCATATTAGCCATGTGACAATTCGTATATGTGTGTTCAAATTTGGAGGGGGGGGGTTATTGTGAAAAAAGGGCCAGAGACGACGGTGGGAATCGAACCCACGACCGCGGCGTGAGAGTCTCTCATGCTAACCACTCGGCTACCGCGGTCCCCCAATTGCTGATTTTAATGTCTCTAATTGTGTGCAGTAAACTTTAGAAGTGGGGCATCGGTGGCCAGTTGACACATTTGCGCACACATCATTGTATGGTAAAGGTCCCAGGTTCAAATCCTGTGGCCCTGCATTCGAACATAGTTACAAATGGGCTTGTTTTTTTTTTTTTTGTTTTTTTTTTCAAAAACACCTGTACCGAGGGTTGATATGACCTCTGCTTATGCGAACCCTCATAAAAAAATCATAATAATAATTTTTTTAAAATTGAGAAGTAATGGTTTGCTCAGGGGGCAAGTGCTGCAACGGTTTAGACGTTACCATGGCACTCATCATTGTTCCAATCCAGTGGCCTTGCATTCGAACCCAACATATTTACAAATGGGCTTACTTTTTCAAAACCACCAACATCCCAAGGGTTGATATGACTGGCCTCTGCTTATGGGGGAAAGAAATAATACTTTTTAATAAACTTTAGAAGTAATGGTTTGCTCAGGGGGTGTCAGTAGCCACAATGTTTTAGGCATTAACAAGTAGTCACAATGGAGCAGTTCCCCTGAGCACTGTACAATACAGCTTATTGTACTTCCTTCATGGCTCCATTTTTGGGAGCTCGCAACACATGTGTGAATTTGAGTCCCCAGTGTGCCGGTGTTCTTACAACATAGAAACTCATTTTTGAAAGTGGTCAGGACCAAATTCAGGGTCACTGGGATCCGATCTCACCCTAGACCTTCCATTGATGAGTTCCTTGTAATTTTATTTTATTTGTTTATTTATTTTTTATTTATTTATTTTTTTAATGCAGTCACCGGTCCCCTTAGGCGTCAGAAAGTCCAGAGGCAACGGTGGGAATCGAACCCATGACCGCAGGATCTACTAGCCAAGAGCCTTAACCACTTGGCTACCACGGTCCACCCCCCAACCCATACACCTTATTCTATAAGGTAAAAGATCCCGGGTTCGAATTCAATGGCCTTGCATTCCTCTTTTCTTTTCTTCTCTTTTTTTTTTTTTTTTTTTTTAATACACTGACACCCGAGAGTTGATATGAACTCTGCTCTTGTGAAAATAAAATAATAAAATAAAAAGTACAAAAAATGTTTTGCTTGGGCAGAAGCTCATAATAAAGGGCAAGTGCAGGCAAATGCACAACGTTATTTTCATGGGATTCAGCTTGACTTTTGAAGTGGATAATGATGAGTTGCTGCGTTTTACCCGTGCAACACATGCACATTTCATAGTTATCAATTTAAAAAAAAAAAAATTGGTTTTTTCACATTTATTTTAGAAAAGGAATGGCAGATGGAGATGCAGATCAATAAATTTGCTCAGGTAACATATTTGGAACACATATCTAGCTGCTCTCAGAAATGAAGAAACGCTTGAATGAGATATTTTAAGTGTATGTCATTTGTTTGTGAGTTGTTTGTGACAAAAGTTTGTATCTGGTAATCATCATTGGTTGAAGGACGACCAGAAAGCTTAGCGCCTTCCAAATCAAAAAATTCCAAATTTTCACTTTTCACAAATTTTTGACGGTGCTTCCTCCTAAAGCATCATCACTATACATATTACAAATTTTCGTAGGAGTTTGTACAATGGTTTTTTCCTTTGCAGCAATAAGAAAACCATAAATAACAAAAATGCAATCAGTGAGTGAAGACTAAACAGATATCTGTGTGAAGGAGTGTTACCACTGGGCAACTTCTACAAGAGCCTCCAATGATAAATTCAACATAAACGAACATATTTACATAATACAATACTTGTAGTAAAATCAACAAATATCAAATAAATGTAATAAAAAAATTTAAAAAATGCACTATTTGTCCTCCTTTTAATTTTTCAAAATATCTTGTAAAAACACAAAATCTCAAATGAAACTGACGAATAATGAATATTGCTTCAAAATAAAAAGGATAAAATCGAATTATTCAAAAACGCTACAGACTTATTTTACAAGCTAACCTTAATCGGGAATCTTCATAATGCGGATGGTTTACTATCGGTCTTCTTGTTGAAAGCAGTATTGCAGCTGTGATTGGCATTGGCCCAGCAAAAACAGCATTCGGTGGAGTGCTTTCGCTAATCCACCCTAACAGCTCCTCTAGATCTACATTACTGTATTCCCCTGTTAAAAATTTCCATTAAAATCAATTTAAAAGGGTGAATTAAACTCAAAGAATATACCAAGGATGTTGTGCTGTTCGACAAGATTCATAATGCCTCTATACTTCATGCAAGCGATGAAAAGCGCCAAGAGTGCAAAATGGAATTTTGTATCCAGAACTTTAAAATACTGAAATTAACTAAGTTAATTTTTTATAAGTTTTAAGTGATATTTTTAAAGTCATACTTTTCGAGATGCTGCTAAAGATGCAATGATACAAAGATGAGGTGTGAAAAACAGCTTGAGCCTCATTATCATGACCGCCATCACTGTGAAAGCCCCAAGCTGTAGGAAATTATATACAACGTCTGGGTCAATTGAGCTAAACAAGAAAATCAATAATGAAACAAACATTGAATTAGGAATATTATTCAAAAGAAAATTACTGAAACTTTGAAGAAGCGACCCAATATAAAAACAAGCCGATAGTCGTGGTGATGACTAGAGGTATCAAATAAGTCTCGGTTAGTTTGACGATAGGCTCCCATCCGAGGAAATCAAATTCAGCCGAACAGGTATAAAGCAAAGTGTGGAAATCACGAAACGATGATATTTTGGAACGTATTATGTTTATTATGTGCGTCTGAAAAAAATTTCATTATCAAACGTAAACCCAGAGTTGTTGCAATCACTTACATCATCATTTGTCGTCAGTGCCCTCGTTTTTAGCACTATGGCTAAGGAAAATGTAACAACAGTCGTAAATACACTCCGTACATAGAAGTTCTGTTTTACAGACAAAATCGGATATAGGAACATGAGGGTTGTTAAAGATGATAAAAGTAGGCAAGTTAACAGTGAAGACAACAACAGCTCATTACCGAACATTAGAAATAGAGTCAAAGAAACTGCCATCTAAAACAAATAAAAAATACAGGACCTTTAACATAGCAATTCTACAAAAATATACTTACTGTTTGTCCTGATAAAACAATAAGAGCTGAAAATCTGCTAACAAATCCCAGCATAAAAAGGATAAGAATGGCAATGACCTGCGTGGCAAATAAAAACTGGGAAAACTGCCATATCGCCAGACAAAGGGATGTAACTATTGTAATAACAACGAACTAGAAAATATTTAAAATAAATATAATATATATTTAAAATAAAATCAACCCATTTTATTGAGTTATATTATTGTTTATAATAGATCGTACTTGTAGGCTGGGCCTTCCTGTTCTTTGAGTAAAATCATGTGTCTCTTTATTTGCGTTTAAAAATTTTGTTACACATAACATTTGCAGGAGGCAGAATGGATAAGCGAAACTTTCTCTTAAAGGTGGAGTCCATTGAACTCTCGTACACTACAAAATATTGATTTATTTTAACGATTACTTTATTACTTTCTTCTTGATACGTACCTCTCCATGATTATAAAAGAAGCACATTACAGATATCAATCCGCCAACTATTGAATCGCTACAAGAAAATTGAAAACATTTACAAAATAATTTGAATATAAGTTGGAACTTTTAGTTATCACACCTTAGAACAAAGCCGTAAATGAATAATATGCTGGTCGTAAAGCCAGCACAGATCCAAACAAAGTGAAGATAGAAGAATTCAGGCTGGCGAATACCAACACAGGAAAAAACTGTGCTGAGGCCGTTGCCACGAACCACCTCCCAGCATTGGTTCCCCACAATACCGAAACTCTCACAAACCGAGTCAAAAATTCTGAACAAACAGCCTAGAAAAACCTGATTCTGTTATTAGTATACCAGCCATATTCTAGCAGTAAGTCAACCCTACTTCTGGAAACAGGTTAAATCTTTCAAGAGTATTAATAACTGATGGATACTCTGTGATATTGTCGTGGGTGATTTTCATAAAGCCCTCGAGAAACGATGGGGCTTCCACAATCGTCTTGTAATATGAGTAGTACATGCCCTGAAACAGAAGAAAGTCGAAATACGGAGCGGAATGGAAACATGCAGTGTAAATAATACCATTTCGCTCCTGAACGTCATTTCCCTCTCAAGAGTTGAAAGATGGGAAAAGTGGCGATCATTTTCAAAGAGTATCGCTACGTGAAATGTATGCAGAAGCCCGAATGTACAAGCTGGAAAAACATTACTGTTAAAAATTTGTTCTCATGTTTAAAATAAAATATTTTTTGGTTTTGTATTCAAAGAAATTAAAGGGAAAAATTATTAACAACTAAAAGCGGATTAAATATTTCTGAAGAAAAATCAAAAATATGTTATTTTACAAGATCCATGAAATCTACTCTTCCCAATGCTTTGACCCTGGCTGAAAAATCATTTCCAGTGGTTAATGAAGTCAAATTTCTCGTATTAATATTGGATCATATGTTGTCATGGAACGGCCATATTGCTGCAATTGAGACCAAAGCAGAGAAATTTTATAATCCACTGAAATGAAATCCACAAAGCAGGATATGCTAACCCTACAGTCAGCTTACTTTACTACAAAGCAACAATTAGATCTATAATTGACTTTGGATCAATTTATTACGGACAAGCTTCTAGATCAAAATTAAAGAAATTGGACATCATACAGCACAAATCTCTCAAAACTTGTTTGGGGTCTCTTAAGAGCACCCCCAATGATATCATCAAAGCTGAATGTAACGATCAGCCACTGTCACATAGAAGAGAAAAACTGGCAGGACGGTTTGTGTTGTGCCAAAAGGTAAAAAAAAAACTTCTCTTGCTCAGCGCATCTGTGATTTGTCCATAATGAATCTAACAAAAAAAAATTGGCAAAAGAAAAAACCTCCACCTATTACCACGAGTTTTCCTCTCTGGCAAAATATCAAGAAAAAATCGAACAAAGAGATACCCTTCCAATTTTCTCTACAGAGCTAAAAATAATTAGAAACCCCCTTAATTGCTGTGTACTAAAAGACTACTCCGGACAAAATCCCGTAGCGGTTAATCAACAAGTGCTTGCTGATCTTCAGGCTAAGGTCCACTTAACTGTTTACACCAATGGATCCCTCATGTCTGGCAAGGTTGGATGCTCCTGGTTCTGCCCTAGCATCAATAAAGGGGAATCAATTCCTCTGCCGGCAGAGATATCAATTTATTCGGCGGAATATTAGCAATTAAGGCAGCGTTAACTTTCTTTACACTCAACCTTCCTACAACAAATCACATTATAATTTGCACAGACAGCCTCAGTGCAATCCAGTGCTTGCAAAACACATTTACTAACATTAAGAATTATATTGACATAAAAAAGACTGTTAACAACTTTTCCACTTACAAAAAAAAAAAAAGGACTCTTTCGTGTGGATTAAAGGACATACGGGCATCTACGGCAACGAAAAAGCCGACACTTGCAAAAAATGCCACACAATTACTCACCCCTAGAATTGTAAGTATTCCTTATACAGACCTTTTTCAAATATTGGAAACAAGAATTCAAATAGAATGACAAACTGAATACTCTGCCTCGGATAAGGGAATGGCTTATAAAACATTATTTCCACTTGTGAAGACAATACCGTGGTTTAACAAACTAGACATGGCAAAAAAAGACATAACCATCATACATCGGTGAAGAACAAACCATGGCATCTGCACAGCGTATCTTCACAAGATTGGCACAAAACAACAACCAAATTGTGACACATGTGGAGTAAAGGAGGACCTAACGCACATAATGTTTCACTGCAGCCAATATTCGTCAGCCAGAAATAAATTCTACCAGGATCTGGAGAAAGAAGGAGTAGAACACCCAACTATGGAAAGTAGAGCTCTATTCAATAATCGCGGTATGTATAACTTGATAATAAAATTTTTAAACGATGTCTGTGAAAATATAATATGAACTGTATAATTTGTATATATTCTTTGTAACGGCTGTATAATTTTTTGATGCCAGAAAAAAAAAAAAAAAAGCGGTTCTAGATTGCAAGAAATTAATCATCTCTGTTTTACAGGATTCAGCGCTATTTTTCATAAATCTAATAAAATATTGGCTTGTAAAAATAAGTCCATAGTGTTTTTCAATAATTCAATTTTATCCTTCTTATTTTGAAGCAATGCTTATTTAGTTATTATTGTTTTCACTCTCCGAAAAGTGTTAATGTGTTTTTATTCATCAGTTTCATTCTATATAAAAGATCCATATTTTCACAAGGTGTTTTGATAATTTAAAATTGAAGGAAAAATTGTGAATTTTTGTCATTTAATGCTTTTTTTATTATCACAAAGGGAAAACTCTGATATCAAGGAAAATTTGTATGTGTATGATGATGATGCTTTAGGAGAAAGCACTGTACGTAAATGGTTTGTTTGGTTCAGAAGTAGAAATTTTGATTTAGAAGGCACAAAGTGCTCTGGTCTTTAGCAATTGATAATGTCCAAATTCAAACTTATTTTACAAATACTCGCACTTAATAACACGAGACATCTCAGAGACAACAAATCTCAAAAAGCTTTGCATCATAAATGAGAACAGCCGTATTCGTTTGTCCATACGGGCTCCAAACATGTTAACTGAGAAGAATTTATTGGAATGCATCTCCATTTGTGATTCCCGCTTAAAATGCAATATAAACACCACCGTTCTGCTAATTCTAGTGTATACGGCACACAATTAAAGCGAATAAAGCTAAAAATTGACCAAAACCAATTGTTGCATTAACTAATCGCAAGGGGATTGTTTTTCACTAGGATAACGCTTGTCCCATGTGTCTTTACAGGCAAGCCAAAATTTATTGGAGCTTTTCTGGGATGTGCCACCCCGCCCGTCTTATTCGTCTAAAATTGCCCTTCAAATTTTTAATAATTTTGGACCACAAAACTCCATTAATGGGTCCATTTGAGGACTGCAGAACACTTAGGCCTCTTTCAGACGAGGTGGTTTGGTTGATTCACCTAAATTGCCCGGTTGACTCTCAACTAGTTTACTGCCGTGTGAAGATTCTTCTTCACAGGTTACATACCAGGCAACTTTTGGAATCAACCTCTCTTCACAACAGGAAGTCAGTACGATGTTAGTACCCAAGGAAGCATGAGCACTTCTTGTGCTTGCTCTTCTGTAAAAAGAGAAGCAAAAAAGAAGGAAACACAGTAAAGAAAAATGTTGTTACAAAATTGGGAACAGGCACTTTCTCACAAATACTGTTTTCACTTCTTTTAATTTTGTCACTATACTCCTCACACCTCATGTCCCATATTGCTGAACTATGTCCCATGAGCTGTTCCACATTGAAACTTGCAATTGTAACGCTTTCCATGGTGAACTCAGTTGACCCAACTAGGTGACTGGAGTGAAAGACGAATGCTGAGCAGTGTCTTTTGTATTGAATCGAGAAGTTATGACGAGAGCGTGAGCGGCACTTGTGCCTGCTGTCCACTCACCTGGGCGGACGAGTTGACTGTGTGAAGGGGTTGGGGCAGTTCTCATCATTTGCTACCTGGGCTACACTCCTTGACATCCGTCCATTCAACTAGTTGAATCAACTAGCCGCCCTGTCTGAAAAAGGCTTTAAAGAGTTCAAGGCCAAAAACTCTGAGAAGTTCTGGGTGGACGGAATTAGATAATTACATGGAAGGTGACAACAGATAGTGTAACAAAATTGTTGACTAAATTTTTTTGCAAGTACCTTAAATTTTCATTGAACCATCAAAAAACGCTATATACTTATTTTAAAACCCAATACATTGCTACAAAATGAAATTACTTAACTAATTAAATATTTTTGTAACAGGGAAAAAAGACAAAAAGTGTACACTGCTTTCAGCAGAAAAAACCTCGTAAAGACGTGTTTAAAATAACATCTTTGGAAGTTGACTATTTAGCAATTTCTGAGCCATGGGTTTATCAGAGCTAGTACAATTATTTAAAAAAAAATTAAAATATGGTTTTTACATGGTTTTTGTCCTTTGTTTTTATTTTAGAGCTGGTTATGGTATTACCAACATCTTCTGGGACATAGAAGACCCACAAAACAACGGTATGCAATTCCTCCTCAGCAATTTCGCATTTCATTTTGCATTATTAAACAGAGTATGCCATCTTAACGCTCTGACCATCAAATGTTGAAGGTTTATACTAGTCTGACCTATGGGTAAAAATTAAATATTTCCATTTTTTTATTTAAGTAAGGGACACCAGTAGTTTTTGGAGAAGCTGAGATCACAGGCGTTCTAAAACAATACGCACATAAAATAAAAAAACTTTGGATGATTAGAACTCATCTTCCATCTGAAGGCAGCCTACTTGCACCATCTGGAATCAATTCTAATCAAAATTATGAATAATAATAATTATATCCATTATATTTAGTGGTCCGATTGTCCAAATTACTTCTTTCAATTAAATAACCTTTTTATGTAAGGTTTTGGTTGAAATGAAAAAGTTAGTGTCACAAACAGGATTTGAACCCACGACCTTCGGCTCAATACGTCGCTGCTCTAACTACTTGAGCTATTATGCCTTCGATCCACTCAGACACCAATGGAAAAATGGCAAATGGAGGGAAAATTCGAAAGGTTGTAGGTGAAATGGGAAGTTTGTGTCCAAGTTGATCAAAGTCACGATAGCTCAAGTGGTTAGAGCAGCGACATATTGAGCCGAAGGTCGTGGGTTCAAATCCCGCTCGTGATACTGACTTTTTCATTCCAACCAAAACCTTACATAAAAGGTTAAATAATAATTATTATGAAATGCATCATACAGATCCAACATCTAACACTTTAAACAGTACTTCTGGGCTTTGATGATGATTAAAATAAGTCAAAAGCTCGGCAGTAACAATTCAATTGGTTTATTCATCCAGATCATCCCAAGATCTTGATTATTCATCTGCATTGTTGAAGCATCAGCTTCTCTACAAATTTAGTGTACAGTGTGTAAATGATCATATGATATCTCCATGGGGTCTGCCGAGTGGTAAACCTGTTTGTCAGTTTCTGAAGTCTGTCTCAGACCAAAACACCAAGGATAGGAAGAGCAAAATGACCTGCCTACTGAATATCGTACAATGATTGATCAATTTGTTCAATGTTTTACAAGCTAATGTCAATACAGACAAGATTGTATGAGGCCATACTGAACAAGGCAAACAAAAGAATTTGGTAAAGGCATCAGGAGGAAGCTTATTAGTCTAAAGCTTGAACTATTACACCATCTACCGATGTCTGCAGGTGATAAAACCAAAAAACAAGCAAACATTTTGTCCTTAACAGACACATTGATTAGTGTCAAACCATCTCGCAAAGAATCAAACCGAGCATACAAAACAACTCTTTGTTATATCATTATGCAAATTGACAGCTACTCTGTGAGTAAAGAATCTGTAGAAAAAGCATGTTTATTCACCTAAAAATGCAATTAGCAAACGTCTGGCGATGGTCGTCTTGTTTCCAGTGCCCAGGCTTTTGTGCCTGTGCGTTTCGTTCTTCGTTCTGTGCCAGACTGGAGCGGACTGCTTCTCGTTCGACTGGGAAGAGGCCTTGTCCCTTTTCCGAACGGCCATCCCAGCAATCGACCGAACTGAAGATAGCCGATAGCAGTAAGCAGTTTATCTCGAGGTAGGCTGCAAACTGTAACCAGCACAATCGAGCTCTTATGTCGATTGATGACAATCGAATTTTAGATAGATCGATCAACAGTAGATTTTTTTTGTTGATACATAAATTTTATGTATGCAGATTTAGCGGGCACCTACACCTTTTCCGTACAAAATATAAAAACGTAACAGTTTACTATATAAACTAATATTTACAACAAAATAATATAATAAAAAAATATACAAGGGACAGAAAAGCACATTCATAAAAAATAGAAGAAATAATATAAAATAATAACATAAAAATATAATATAATTAAAATATAATAGAATAGAAAAATTAACAATCAAATTAAAAATAAAAATTAAAGACGTAACATGAACAAAATATAATATAATTAAAACATGGTAAATTAACAATCAAAATATAAAAATAAAAATCATTACAATAGTAATAATAACATAAATCAAAAGGTGCAATTCGTTGGCTCCTTATAGAGAGCGCTTAATTTAATTAAGTCCCCTGATCCACTTATTAGAAGAAACGGGGTTGTTTTATTGTAAATAGCACTGATAGTTTCGTGTACCTAGCGCGTGTGAGAGTGACTGAGCCTATGATGGCGGAATAGTGAGTACCCTGTCGACCCTCAATTAAGTTAGGACCAATATAGGACTTGATATTATATTAACTTAATATAATAAGCGTAAAGGGTGATAGAAGAAAATTGAGTACCCAATCGACTCTCAATTAAGTCAGGACGAACATATGACCTTCAATATTCTAAATGTTAAGGGTGATGGAGTAATATTGAGTACTCCTTTGACTCTCGATTAAGTTAAGACCAACATTGGACTCTCAATATACTAAGTGTAAAGGGTGATGGAAGAAAATTGAGTACCCCTTTGACTCTCAATTAAGTCAGGACGAATATATGACCTTCAATATACTAGGTGTAAAGGGTGATGGAGTAATATTGAATACTCCATTGACCCTCAATCAAGTCAGGACTAACATAAGATTCCTAATATAATAAGTGTAAAGGGTGAATGAGGAATATTGATTACCCCATCAACCCTCAATTAAGTTAGGAGCTACAATGTATAAAGGATGATGGATTAATATTGAGTACTCCACCACCCTGAGTGAATGGTATGTAAATAGGTAAAAATATATATATGAAAGAGTGAGAATGAAAGGTTTTGTATTTAGGAACTGATTGCTGAATTGATCTCAGACCTTAGCTGCCGACAGCTCCCGAAGACCAACCTCGTTGGCTGGAGTGATAAGACAGTTCTGACCCCACACTGCCAGTACACAATGTGGGTGATTCTCGATTCTTGCTGGTAATTGATTGTAAAGTACAAAATTTGGAATTGCCAACAGATTGTAATATGTGTTTAGCTCAATTCTGTAAGTAAGTCAGTACATATGTACACACACAGATCTGAGCTTATACAAATCAGCAATAGTGTATTAGAAAATTCGGAAAACGAAATATGTTAAATTAAAGCCAGAGATGAAGAGAAAGATCAGGGCTTAGTTCTACTTAAGAGCTTTTCCTTTTTTTAAAGAAATAGCTGCCTTCTAGAAAAATAGCGCGTTCAGCTATTGACAAATATAAAACGATCTCAAAAGATTTTAGTTTTACACAGATATTTGATAATTAAAATTTTGAAAATAAAATAATTTATATTTTATTTATTTAAAACAAAATTTCCCCATTGTGTATTGCTAAATGAGCTTCCCCATTTGATAAGTGATAACCAGAAATTGCGCTCAAAACCTCGATCGAACCTGCCCGGTGGTTTTCAAGGAATCAATCTTTTGTTGTGCTGATAAATAATATACAATTTTAAACACCTTCGTTATTTCATTCGCTGATAACTTTCAACTGTTAACTGTCAAGTTTCGACTGATGAGAATAGAATGCCTTGTGAAATAATAACTTTGCAGCTTGGCCAATGCGGTAACCAAGGTACGTTTTCATATTTTATCCCGTGTATTGTTTGTCGCACGAGAAAATTAGTTAAATATCTGCCGCGAAGATTTACGAAAAAATGAATTATTTAAAATATGCCCTTTACAATAACATTGATAGATGTATGATAGATCATAATGATCACTTAACACTATGTACTACATATGCATATTCATATAAAATAATATTTATATCATTTATTTTGCAATCTTGCATAATTGTAATAATATTGAACAATTATTATATTTTAGTTATTTGTAATATATTTGTGATAACTGTCAACAGTCATGTGACATGTCTAATAGAAGAGAATGCCTTTTGAAATAACCAAACGACTTAGGCTTATCAATGCAAGTGTTTAAAAAAAAGAAACTTAAACTTAATTGTCTTATTTATATTAAATTTAGTGTTGTTACAATAAACAATATGCTGTAAGCTAGTTGTGTCGATGCAAGGGGATTAAACACAGAAGTCACTAATAAAAGATTATTTTGGACAAAACGGTGGGATAGATTGGCTGAAAAATTCAACGTAGAATGTAATTTAGTGCTTCTTGATCACAAAACATTAAAAATATTGCAGAAAAAGTCCAGGTAGTATTATAAGAGGATAAAGCAAAAGCAGTTTGCCACAAGGCAGCCACATCAGTACAATTTTCACTTTTCAGGAAATTAAATAATAGCGACATCAAATGAGCGAGCTTGGCGAACCAAAGTTTGGTCGCAATAATAACTTTACAGCTTGGAAAATTAATGAATTTTTGTGAATATATACTCTGCAATATAAAGTAAACAATTCAAATATGAAACTTTTCAAAAATGAATAGGGATATTTGAAATTTATTCTTATTCTATTAATTTTAATTAAATTAACTGATATATTCTTGTTGACCATATAAAACAAAAGAGAAAATACAAACCAAAAACAAAAATTTGTTAATCCTCATTTTTAATAAGGGATTTACTTAAGAATATAAACATGAAAATTACTCATTTGCTAAACAAACACCTTTCTAATCTTTTCTCAATTTTAATCCAGTTGTATTCTCTTTAACTATGGGAAGATGTCTTAAACCACAAATTCGCAATATTATTGTCAAGATGAGTCATTGAGGTCTCTGGCAAGAGAATTTCAAAGAGTCAGTTGGCATTTCTCAGGGCGTGGTCTCCCAATTCTGAGAGACTGGAAGGGACAATAGGAGACCTGGTAGTGGATCTCAGCACATTATGGCACTAAAGGAAGAAGAAATATTGTCATTGTTGCAAGACAGAATCCTTTCCATAGTGCCCGCCAGATCCTAAATGAAGTACCAGATGTTTTGGCAAAGCCTTTATCAACACAAAAGATTCGTAATTGTTTGTGGCAAGTTGACCTCACATCGTTTGTCTCTTTGAGATGACCTGCAGCAATGGCCAGCCTCCAGCAACTTAGGAGAAAATGGCTAGAAGAGAACACCAATTGGAATGCTGTTAAGTTAACTGTCGTGTTTCTGTCTGTATAGTGTTAGCAGGTGCCGAAGAGTCTACTGATGCATACAATGTCCCAGTTCGTGCTCCCTTTAGTGCAGTTTATAGGAGGCGGTATAATGGGCGGGATTTACACTGGAGGACGACTGAAGTCCATAGTGTTGAAGGCAACCTCACCGCAGTCCATTATGTCCAAGAAATTATCCTGGAATACATCCTTCAAACCAGGGATCTCATTTGTATTGATTTTCGGTTTCTGTATGACAATGCCAGACCTCATTAAGGCAGAGTTGTTCATCAATGTTTAGAAAACCTGGGAATTTTTCATCTGCCCATTCTCCCATTGTCTCCACACTTCAATCCCATTGAGTATATGTAGGATAAGTTGCAGAGAAGACTTTTCGATCGAGATCCACAGCCTGTTGACCTGCAAGAACTGAGTGCAGCGTTGCCATCTATAGAGTGAAATTCCTTATGGAATTAGTGACAACCATAACAGAATTCGTAACAGGTGCACAGAGGTTTTTGCTAACAGAGGACATTGTGCACAGTATTAATTGTTTAAAGAAATTATTGTGTTCAATAAACAAAAGTACGGAATTACAACATTTTATTTTGTTATTATTTGGAGATAGTGAAATGCAGTCTGGTGTGACGTAGGTTTAGAAAAACATGTTCTTTATCGATGCCAACGTTTCAATCTTTATTGAGATAATCTTCTGGACCTGGGATTTGTAAACATTGTTTAAATTAAATATATGTTATATGTATACATATACAAATATATGTAAGATGTGAAAAATTGAATTTATACAACGATAGAAATTCATTTTTTCACATCTTACATGTATTTGTATAATTTAAACAATTTTTATAAATCCCAGGCCCTGAAAATTATCTCAATAAAGATAGAAACTTTGGTATGATGAAGAAAATGTTTTTCTACACCTACGCCACACCAAACCACATCTCACGATCTCCGAATAATCATTAATTAACAGTCACTAAACACCACACTCTTTTATTTTGTTATTTTTCAAAATCCCTTAATTAAATTTTCCTTCAGTAAAAACATAATAATTTTCAATAAATTTTAATGCAATTTATAATAAAAATGCTAGGGGAAATAAATACTACAAAATTGGCAATATTCCTAATCATTTTTGAGCAGTTTATATTCAATCAACTCACACATATTCCTTTTTACAAAAATCAATGTTAAGTCTGCAATGAGTGAACAGATTAATTATATAGAAACATTTATCAATTTAATAAGCTTATGTGTCATCCTGTAGTTTATTTAAAATTAAATATTGTAAATATTCAGGATAGCTTTAATAAAATTGAGTTTTTACAATTAATGCTTGAAGAATCTATTTTTTTCTTTTTTTTTGGATTGTACACAATTTTTTTATGTACATCAATGAATTTCATACGTTTGTTTTCTTATTTCCATTGAATTTTAAAATTAATTTGTTTAAATTTATTTCAGTTGGTTTTGAATTTTGGAAAAAGCTGTGTGCAGAGCATGCCATCAAACCTGATGGTATTTTAGAAAGCTTTGCCACCGAAGGCACAGATCGGAAGGATGTATTTTTTTACCAGGTACATCATTCATTCACTCCATTCAAATTCTCAATGTGGAATTGTGTTCAATTTAAATTCTCAGGCAGATGATGAGCACTACATACCAAGGGCTGTCCTTCTTGACCTGGAGCCTCGTGTTATCCAATCCATAAAAAATTCACAATATGCAAAAGTAAAATTACATTGTGCTATAAGCAATACGGATTAGTATTTGAAATAATAACTGTGTGTGTGTTTTTTAGCTTTATAATCCAGAAAATATATATTTATCCAAAGATGGAGGAGGTGCCGGGAATAATTGGGCTTCAGGTTATTCACAGGGGGAAAAAGTTCAAGAAGAAGTTTTTGACATAATTGAGAGAGAAGCTGAAAACAGTGATAGTTTGGAGGTAGAAATCAAGTTTCTTTTACAATTTATAACAGTTGATAATTTAACTTATTTAATATGTGAACTTTTTTCAAGGGATTTGTAATGTGCCATTCAATCGCAGGGGGAACTGGGTCTGGAATGGGATCATATTTACTCGACAGGTTGGCCGACCGTTTTCCCAAGAAGATAATCCAGACCTACAGCGTATTTCCCAATCAAGATGAAATAAGGTATAAACATAATTTTGGTGGGCGGTATGTTTGTTTCAACATCATTTTTCTTTTCTTTCAGTGATGTTGTAGTTCAACCTTATAATTCTGTTCTTACACTGAAGCGGTTGACAAAATCAGCGGATTGCGTTGTTGTACTCGACAACACAGCTCTAAATAGAATAGCGACAGATCGTCTTCACATTCAACAGCCTACTTTCTCACAAATCAACTCTTTAGTGTCGACTATTATGTCCGTGAGCACTGCCACTTTAAGGTAATCAGTCTTATTTGTTGAATTAATTATATTTATATGCTTAACAACTTATCAATTTAAGGTACCCTTCATATATGAATAATGATCTGATTGGTCTAATTGCACCATTGATTCCTACACCAAGGCTTCATTTTCTCATGACTGGTTACACGCCATTGACTGGCGAACATGAGGTAATATTAAAAAAAAAAAAATTACATTTTAGATTTACAATACGGTCCTAATTTCTAATCGAATAGGAAGCATCAGTGCGAAAGACTTCTGTTATGGACGTCATGAGGAGATTGCTCCAACCGAAAAATATGATGGTTTCCACCGAACTGGACCGTGCAGGACTCCATCGGTACATCTCCATTTTAAATATAATCCAGGTAGATTCTAAACACTCGAAAGATTTTATTTTATATTATAATTACGTTAAAATGGACAATTTTGTTTCTAAAGGGTGAGGTGGATGTAACGCAAGTTCACAAGTCATTGCAAAGGATCCGTGAAAGAAAGATGGTCCAGTTTATTTCATGGGGCCCGGCCAGTATTCAGGTGGCATTGTCTAGAAAATCGCCTTACGTTCACACCGCACACAGGGTCTCTGGGCTTATGCTTGCAAACCACACGAACATTGTTTCAGTCAGTATTATTTGTAAAAAGTCAATTGAACATTTGATATTCTATTGGATTTTTGTCCCACAGCTTTTTAATCAAGTTCTATTCCAATACGATAAACTGAGGAAGAGGGAGGCGTTCTTAGAGCAGTTTCGTAAACAAACGATGTTCCAGAATAGTCTCGAAGAATTGGACGTCTCGAGAGAAGTCATTGAAGACCTTGTCAACGAGTACAACGCTGCTACAAAACCAGATTATCTTACCTGGAAATCAAGTGCTGTAAGTCATAGCAACCCTATTTAAGCATGCTACTTTATACTGGTCATTATTAATTATATTTAATTTATAGCATTTGTAAACAAAATTGTTTTTATTTATGTTTATTTAAATATACAAATCATTGGATGAGTTTTTCTATTTTTGTGCATCTTTTTCAAGTATAATTGAATTTCCCTGAACAGACTTTAACAACTGGATAATTCCATCTTCTCGGTTGAAATTTTGAGGAATAAAATTAACTGATTTTATAATAATTTGTAAATACATTTTTTTTTTAATTTTGGCATTACCGATCAGTTTAGTTTGCATTTCCTGGCTGTATATGTAGCAAAATGCCAAAATGTTTCTGACAGATGGACCCAGCAAGAATAGGCAGACCAAAAGGATCGGTAATGACAAAATTTAAATAATACACTACTTCACAAAACAACTGGTGCACTTTGAAATGTTGATTTCTTTTTTAATTTGACAATTTTTGCACATATTTTTTGTTTTACTATGTTAAAAATGATGTAATAATTATAATTAGAGGGAAAGTGTTTTTTTTTTTTTGTCACCGATTATGAGGCAAAACTACTTAATTATGACTAAAAAGCAAAATTACTTAATATGACTAAAAATCTCCACAATGTAAATCATAAAGGGCATTTAATCCTTTAAAAATGCCTTCATTCATTATTGTGTTGGTGGAACGAAACAAAATTATACAAAAATGTATGATCAGCAGGCAATTAGCCCATGCCATAGATGGAAAAAAGTTGCATTTTCAAAAAGATTCACTTTCTATGTAAGTAACAAATCTCTATTTAAGGGACACTTCATAAAGGACAAGGACACTGTTGTCTTGTCCTTCAGCCATTAACAATACAGAAAGCCTCTAAGTAGTGGATTCCCCCTTCCCATCAGGTAGCATAGATGATCTATGAGCATTAAAATGATCTATAACTATGCTTACAACTATTGATTTATCAAATTAGAGAGTTTACACAAATTTGTTCACTTCTCCTCCCACTCAGGCTATCTTATTTTCTTTCTGATATAGTTTTCATTTCATGATTTTAGTTAAAAAATTTTAATGTTAAAATGGTTCCGACCAGTCAAATATTGACTTTAAAAGAAAGAAAAATAGTGCTTGATTCTTACGAAAAGTTTGGAGTACCTAGTGTAATAACATTAATAATTAATGATCGTTTTGGGAATGCAGTCACGACTTACAGGTTTAAGTCAATTTGTTGACTGACGTTTAAAAAAATTTATATATCTTTGATCTAAAAAATTAACCAATTTTTGTTGGAGTCGTTCTGCCTTGAAAAAGAAAGTAAAACTTCCAAAATGTTGGCCAATAAATAAATGTACGAATAAAAATTGGCAGTTATGACTGCATTGCTAAAAAACCACCAATAATTAAAAACAGTCATCACATCTTAATAAGCAAATAAAAATTAAGGCTTAGCAAAATGCTGTGAGGGAAAATTTAAAATATAAAGTTTTCGAAAATGTACATCTAAATCTACACCTCACATGTAGTCGTCTGTACATGTACCATATGTTACTAGATAATAAACATTCCTTTAGAGGACACCTCCCGCAAAACCTCTTTTTATACTAGTACTATTAGAGTAAATAAGAAAAAGAAAGATGCAGGGATGACATACTTTCGTACAGTCAGGCTGCTAAAAAAGCATAAATGGGTGCTTTAGCACTAAAATAGTCTAGGAATGCCTGAATAACCTAGGATAATACAAGGTTACTGAAGGTTCCGGCCAACTAGCCAAAGTAGGGGCAGTCGTCTCACCCATGGGACCAGAATCTTAACGTAATTACCAGAGAGTTGCTAAAGTTGGAACTAGAAAAATGGCTTGAGAAAGAAAAACTCAAGCACTGGACATAAAACACCAGGTACGAGGCAAGCTAAGAGATTTATGAATCTCACAAAAAGGAAGGCAAAGGAACTACCACTTAAAGAGGTGGTACAAAGTTGATGCAGCAATAAGCCCACTATGCCACTTCCCATGGTATGGTCTTCATCATAAGGATTCCTCAAAAACCTATACATGGTGATTCACAAATTTTGCGCGATTCTCATGGAGATGATTTTTCAGCTTATTTATTACAAAACATATTCTATATATTTCTTTAAAATTATTATTAGTTTTGTATTAAAGCCTTTTTTTTCTTACTCTTTGTAGTAAATTTGATAGCACCATTAGAAAGAGGGATAAATTTCCCATTATATAGTGATAAATAGGTTTTTAAAATGATTCTTTAACATTTAATTTTGTATTTAGTCATGAAACAATCCAGTTTTTGTCATTTCAGCTACATTTTTAATCTGGATTTAAATCTGAGCAATTGTCAATTATGGGCTATCCAAGTAAGAAAAACTTCTTCATGTAATAAGCTTGAAAACCACATGATTTTTTCCTAGGATAAAATGATCATTTGTGGAAAAATAGAGTTTGAATAAGAAAATCATGCTCAAAAGATGGTGAACGCTTTCCTTTTTCTTTATTCATATTTTTGTGTGGTGATTAGTGACCGTTAATCGATAATTATTCATAAATTGTGAGATGCGGTCTGGTGTGATGTACTTTTCAGAAACACTTTGAGCCCTGAAGATGATCTCAATAAAGATCGAAACGTTGGCACGATAAAGAATATGTTTTTCTGAAACCTACATCACACCAGACCGCATCTCATAATTTCTGAATAATTTATTCATATTGATAATAAAATAAAAAATAATTACTTTTAAAAATAAAATAACATCCCGTTTTTAAGAAAAATACAAAATTAGTGTATTAGTACAAGAAGGAGAAAATCCGCCTTAATCCCCTCCTTAATTGTATACACAAGAGAACTTGTTCACATAATTATTACAGTCGTTTCCCTTTGTCGTTACTATCTAATAATTTACTTCTAAACCGAGTTCTTATTAGTTCTACTTCAGTAATCATTCACCATGGTTTGTACCAACGAGGAGTACACCGATATTATATTTCCATACGGTGCTGCTTGGCGCAATGGAACCTGGTGGCAGTGCAGGAGTACCAAGAGCTCTTCCTCTAACTTGGATAGTCCATAGTTGACAATTGCTCAGGTTTAAATGTAGATTAAAACTCTAGGTGATACGACAAAAACTGGATTGTTTCATAATTAAAAACAAAATTAAATACTTAAAGTAAAAAAAAAAAAAACTTTGGTACCTAGTTAGATAAAATAAAGGCTAATCAGTTCAAACAATCCAAAAAGTATTAAAAAATCATTGAATATGTTCATGCATACTAGCATATGTAACAATCTAGTATTTGTAAATTATTTATTATCACATTAAGTTGAAATTGTTCTTTTAAATCTTTGTTCTTTAAAATCAAAGCAATCTTAAGGACCGCTGTTTTTGAGGTATGGAGTTAAAGAAAAAAATTTTTTGGTCATATATAAATTGTTTTGTTTGTCAAATTGTATTTTTTACAGATTCTTGACGAACCGTCAACTGCTGGGGAATAAAAATCTAAAACTAACTGCACCACCACCCATCACAAGACGAGACGAAGTGCCACACGATTTGCCATTCTTAGTTTAGCCAGAATGCAAATAAGATTGCTAAAATTACAGGACTAACCAAATGGCTGTGTAACCAAAATTAAACAAGACAGTTCTGTAGACTTGTTATAATTTGAAAATCTCAATGCGCTTTGCCAAGATTAAAAATTAAAATCTTGGAACTTGACTTAAAGCTGATGTTATGATGGATCATAAAAATAAAAAGATTTTTTTTTCATATAAAAATGAATCAATACATTTTTTTACTGTCTTGTTTTCTACTTTAAGTGTTGTAATTTGTACACTTTTTTGTTTAAATAAAACAATCAATAATAAGCCCTTGTATTTTTTCTCTCTTGCCCATTTCATTTTTTAATTAACTTTCAAATTGAGGAAAGTAATATTTCATTATTTATCATGTGGCTTGTGAGTGACAACTTTGCTGCAACTGACCTCCTGCTTTTTATTTTAATGATCCTCGACTAATATAGAAAATATCGTATTTTCAACCCAAATTACTTAATAGGTAAGTTGGAAAAATCTATCTTCTAAATTAATTGACACATTTTATTTCCTTTGATACAGTTTCTTACAATGAAACAATTCAACATGTGTTAAAAATTAAAATACAAAATGAAATATATTATTAACCAATTTGCTAATATAGATGTAAGATATATATAGATATATAAAACTATTTTTAAAAAATTAACAAATGGCTCACAAGTTTTTATCTAAGTTAAAAATATTGCATTTTATTTTTCTGAGATGGTACTTAGTTTAATTATACATTCAAAAAATCAATTTTTGAATAATCTTTGGCAAAAGCAAAAAAAAAGAAATAGAGATTTTATTTAAGACAAAAGCTACACAAGATGTCGAGTTAAAGAAAGTCAAAAGAATAAGATGTTTATGACTAGCTATGTCCATTTTCAAAATAAAAGTTTTAACACATACTATATAATCACAACATAAAAATAGGTTTAGTATCGAATTTCTACGCCAGAACCTATTCAGTCTCAATACCCTTTAGCTTAACAAAAATACATGTATGTACAAGAAAACATGAAATTTAGATAAGTTAAGTAATTAAAATTTTTTAAAAAACAAAGTTAGAAATACATTAATTTTTAAAATAAACACTTTAAATTTTGAGGTAATTTCAATTTTACCTTAATTATCACATGGGGAGGATTGGAAATTATACACAAATGTTTCAGCCGGAAACTTAACGGGGAATCAGATTCAACTGTAATTTACTTTTGCTCGATATTGCAAGGTTGCCGAGGGGAACCTTATAAGTTTCCACAGGTACTAGATGGAACCTCTGTAGCAGTGTTGCTAGTGTCACGAAGGAAATAAATTGCGTCAACTTGTAGCCCATGCAAGATCTCCTTCCGCCTCCGAAAGGGAGAAAGTGCTCTGGCTTTGAAATCTTTCCGTCTTCATTCAGGAACCTGTCAGGCATGAATTTGGTAGGCTCTGACCATAACTCAGGACTCATGTTGAGTGTGTAATTATTCAGGAAAATAAGTGTGTCTTTTTCAACTGTGTATCCTATAGACAGAAAATACAATTAAGAATTCAATAATAAAACTTATTAAGAGTAAAGTTGTGAGGAAGTTTGCATTACCTGCAAGGGAGCATTGTTGGTTGGCGACATGCGGTATGATCGGTGAAGTGATATGTCTCACAGCTTCCAAAATAGTAGCTTCTGTGTAAGGCATCGATGACCTGTCTTCCAATGTTATCTCCCTTCCTGCTGATACATAGTCGATTTCTTTTTGGATTTTTTCCTGGACCTCAGGCGCTTGTGAAACAAAGCCCAAAACTTTTACGATCAGGTTGGCAATGGCAGAGTGTCCTCCAATGATGTCTTCCAGAGCAAATAAGGCAGTTTCAAGAGACATGGTCGCCTTTGGGTCTTTGATGTGGTTGATGAGAGCATCGACGTAATCCTCTGCTTCTTGTCCTGCAGCCCAGTTGTCAAGCCTCTTTTGGATGATCCTGCCGACGATGAAGTCTTTGATCTCCTTGCTCCATTTCGACATCTTTCTAAGATTTCCATTGAGAAGAGGCATAAGCCAGGGTATAAAGTCAGCTGCATATCCCTGGTTCACCTCATAGAAGATGCTATCGAAATTCTCAACCATTTTCACATATTCGGGATCATCCGAGGGAAATCTTGAACTGCAGATGTATGACATGAAGATATTGGCGACTGTACGGAGCATCAGTGGTTTTATGTAAACCACTCCGCCTTTCAACTGTGTGCACATTTCGTGCATCTCGATATTTATAATTCCATTGAGTTGGTGAAATCTCTCGGTGAAAACTTTTGGGAAAGCGTGATCTTTTAGCATGTCTCTTCTTGTCTTCTGGGTTTCTGACCAATCACAAAACGCCAATGCTGAAAAGAAATGAATGACTGTTGAAACACTTTGTCTATGTATTAAGGGAAAAAAACATTTATTTTTTAAAAAAATTGCTCAAAATAAGTCAGTTTAAAAATAATGATAATAATTTCAAACTAGACAAACAATTCTCCTTTCTTGCAAACATAAAACAAAGTTATGTTTTATCAAGCCCAGTTTGTGCAAAAAATTATTCTTATTTTTTATTAGTTTTTCACATGCTTTTATTACTGTTAAGTTGTTTTTGTGGGAACAAGTGTAGTTTTTTTCTAGTTAAATGTTTTGGTGACTGATAAACACATTATTTTGAAAGGGGCTGTAAAAGTTAACAGAATTTGTAATAAATTCTTAGATGATACTGTAACATGAATTTATCTTATATCACGATAATTGATATTTTTTAGACAAAATTTTCTGAAAACATGATGAAATTAGAAAAAAATAGCTTTTCAAACACTTGGGTGTAATATACAATTAATTTATATATTATATCAAATATGGGAGTGCAAAGACATAACATTTTATAAACGTTGGTTTGTTGTATTTTAAATTGAATGGTACTTACAATTTTCTTTGTCTCCTCCAAATAGCTGATGGTAGCGGGTGAAGTTCGGTCGTCCATCGAACATATCACCTTTGTTGAAGAGTACTTCTCTGATATGCTTCAGGTTGGAAATGACAAGGCATTGCACCTGTCCGAGTTTGATGGCGAAGACGGGTCCGTATTTGTCCGAGAGGACGTCGAATGCTTGGTATGGGATCTCATACCCACCGAGGAGATGTAGCGAGCCGATGACTGGCCACGGCTTTGGACCTGGGGCTTCCTTCCCCAGGACGCGCCTTTTCTTATTCCTCAGGAACTTATCCCCGACCACTCCGAGCACGATGAGAGCAAGAGCGGCCAGCAGGAGATATGAAGCAGAGCTCAGGTAAATTCCTTCCATTGTGGCTTTCAAGGAACAAAGACTGGTGTTGATGTCTCTGAGGCTCCACTTCCTATGGCTTAGTCCCTTGTCGTCGCACCTATATATACAAGACGAGAAGCTTATTTTCTATTCTGGGCTCATTTCTTTAACAAATTTACTCTCTACTCCCATTTCCCTTTCAGCTGTTACCCTGGCCAGAGCAATGCGATGAGATCTTTTTAACATTATTAGTGTTTAGGACGAATATCAAAGTGTTTAACGATATTGCAATCAAAAATTAAAGATCTCATTAAGATAGAATATTAATGATTTAAAAAGAATACATCAAAGAAAAACTTTTTTCTACCTAACTGATACACTTAATTTCGATTTATTTCAGAAGTACTACCTGAAGAACATTCGATATTGCATTTCCATTCATTTAATTTGTAAAATGTAAAAATATATACATATATATAAAGAAATTTAATATGTTGAATTTGTACAAAGTCGCCTTTCTTAATCGTTAAGGATCATATTTGGATACTTATAGTTTCTTTGTATTTTAATTCGACTACATAAATAAAATCTATACAACTTAATTCAGTATAAGTATACACGCAATAATCAAGCACAAGAAATAAAGTTAAATAAGTTAACACATCTTTTTAAAACTTTTTACTGGCTGTTTATCTTGTGATCTGTTCCCTCTTTCGTAGCTACGGTAGCTTTTAAAAATTAAATTTTCCTAGAAATAAGATAATAAATGGCAGTGATTGTCAAAGATTATCTAAATCGGGCCGTAAGATAATCTGAGACAAGGATCTCTTTCCTAAAGATTTTTCAGCTCTTCCAGTACAGTGACAATTAAGTAATAAAAATCAAATACTAGTACGATCATGATGCCGTCCGGAATAAAGTTTGTTGGATCATAAGCGAATTTGTAATGTCAAAAAGTCATTTTCTTTAGTCTTTTACTCCTTCCGGATTAAGAAAAAAACCTTTATCAACATTTTGACAAACAGGATTGTCAATATTGACAATTGGCACAATAGTCTTTTAAACAAATAAAAAATTTCAAAATCTGATTTTTGTTTTGCCGGCGAGAAATGGGGGAAAAATTCGACTTTGTAATTATTCTACCAATTGAATTTGCATGAAGTGGCGATGTATTTTATATATTTTTTTACAATAATTATCGTAGATTTTACGCGTTTTTTTAAATTAATTTTTTAGTGCGTTTTTTAATTTAATTTTTTATTAATTAATGTTTTAGATTTTAGTAAAATCCAGAATATCTTCTTCTCATTCGTTTAATTGCTCTAAAGGTACTTTCCTCATACACTAAAAAAAATTTGTATATTGATTTTATAATGTAAATTAAAGACCAGCAATTTTTTAAATTTAGAATGAGTAGCGTAACAGGGTTGTGGTCAGTCTGCGAGATATATCATTATAGAGATATATCACCAGTTTCGGCTTATATTTGGTCTTCCTCAGAGTTAACAATAAGATATAATGTTGATATATAAAGTACAGACAGACTGACAACAACCCTGACACCCATCCTAAAATAAATTTTTATGGTAGTTTCAAAATAAAAACTTGAGATTTATAAGAAAGCAGCACACGATAATAAAACCAAGCCTATACAGTGTGTTCGGCTACTCGTGTTGCAAACTTTGCAATAGATTCTACATTCAAAATGGAACCAAAAAGTTCTGATTAACAATGGTCCGAATCTCAGCAGTTTCGGAGTTATTCCGCTTTTTATGATTTTTTAAGATTTCACAACCTTGCTTAAAAAACAAACAAACAATGATAACTCCAAAACTAAAAGGTTTTGGACAAATCTGTTGATACCATTTAAAACTACATTAAATTTCTAATAAGATGTGATCAATATTAAACTTAGTAAACGTTCGTGAAATAAGCGTTTTAGTAGCGAGAACTTTGAAAAAGAATTTTTTTTTCAAAGTTGAAAAAATTACTATGGTGATTTTAATCTACTATTTCCAAACCTAGAGACCAGCAAATTTCAGAAAACGTACTCCATTTAATATCCTTTTAGTGGTGCAATTGCTTTTTTAATTACTTTTTTCAAAGGTGAAGAAATTGATGAAAGAAAGAAAAAATCGTGGTTGATGGATTGGTAAGGTGAAACGATTAATAATAATAAAAAATAAAAACTTAAGGAAACATTGAATGAATTTATTAAACGATTTTTAATTTTGATTGGAAATGCTATCCATCATCCGCAATGTATTTTCGATGCGCTGCCGCAAAACCGCACATAAGATGTATATCAAAGTATTCTTCATTTAGAAAAAGTAGCCGTAGTGTTAGCAAGATATCACATAGATAACTAAAAACGTTTTGAATCTTAAAACTCTTTTATTTCGGAGAATAATAATAAAATAATCCTTTAATCAAAGTTACTAAACTACTATTTCCAAACCTAAAGATCACCAAATTTCAGGAAACGTACTCCATTTAATATCCTTTTTAGTGGTGTGATTGCTTTTTTAATTACTTTTTCAGAGATGAAGAAATTGATGAAGGAAAGGCAAAAACCGTGGCTGACGGATTGGTACGGTGAAAAGATTAATATTAATAAAAAATAAAAACTTAAGAAAAATTGTGAATAAAGAACTAAAAAGGTTTTGAATTTTAAAACTCTTTTCTTCTGGGGAATAATAATACAATAATCCTTTAATCAAAGTATCAGTTATGTTGGTAAATAAGAAACACTTGCACTATTTCCGTTTCGAATCCATATTTTAAAATTTTTTAATAAATTCATTCACATTTTTTTTTAATTTTCCACCTAACCAATCCGTCAGCCACGGTTTTTTCCTTTCCTTCATCAATTTCTTCATCTTTGAAAAAAGTAATTTAAAAAACAATTAAACCTCTAAAAAGGATTTTCTGGTCTCTAGGTTTCGAAATAGTAGTTTAGAATCGCCTTAGTAAGTTTTTCAACTTTGAAAAAAATTTTTTTTTTAAATTCTCCCTACTAAAACGCTTATATCACGAACGTTTACAAGTTTAATATTAATTACATCTTATTGGAAATTTAACGTAGTTATCAATGGTATCAACACATTTGTCCAAAACCTTTCAGTTTTGGATTTATCATTGTTTATTTGAAGCAAGGTCGTGAAATGTTAAAAAATCAGAAAAAGTGGAATAACTAAGCAATTACTGAGATTCGGACCATAGTTAACTAGAACTTTTTGGTTCCATTTTAAATGTAGTATCTATTGACAAAGTTTGTAATACGAGTAGCCGAACACCCTGTATAATATAATTCCAATTATTATTTTTTTAAATTTAAGATTTTTGGTTGAGATGCTTATTTCATCAACGTTTACTAAGTTTAATATTGATCAGATCTTATTGGAAATTTAAGTAGTTATCAATGGTATCAACAGATTTGTCCAAAACCTTTCAGTTTTGGAGTTATCATTGTTTATTTGAAGCGAGGTCATGAAATCTTTAAAAAAAATCAGAAAATGGGATAGATAGATAAATGCAATACATAAATCGATTTAACCACTTTTCTGTTAAAAAAAAATATTACACAGTACATGTATAATTTGCAATTGAATATACCAAAAAAAAGGAACAAAAAAGTACATACCTTAACAATTCTTTAGCAAAGTTCAATATTTTTGAATGCGAGAAGTAAAACGCGGTTAAGAACGAATTCGAAGTATCTGCTGAGTAAGTGAAGAGGGTGGTCCTTAATAGCAAATAACACGTAAGATGGATCGAGTGGAGCATAGTAGGCAATTCGAAAGAGGACAGATCTTTCCAGGAAGAACTCGTCGTCTTTGCCTTTGGAAAAAGACTGTACTCGATTTGAGGGAGGACGCCTTTTTATATTTAAGGAAGGGTGGATCCCAGGTACAGGAAAATTGTCTACGCCGGCTTTTCTTACCCCACCCGTGGTGGTACTTTCACTTGATATAATTTACAACGGGTACATTTCCGACCTTGGCATATTTTCCAGTGTTGCATCTTTTGAAAAAAAAAAGATTTATTTTAGACAGAGCTGACCTACATTGTCTTGCCGAATCAAAATAAGAAACATTGATTTGCCATGTAAATCAGAATCAAAACTGCAATATAATTCCAACCAAAACTAACGAAATTTCAAAGACCCTAGACTTATATGTTCATTAATAAGATTTTAACCCCGTAAGGTCGTGCTTTTTAAACTACAGGAAGTAAAAACAATTGAAGAATAAATTACCTAAATAATTAGTACATTACAACACCAATTCCGAAATTCTTTAGTTTCATACACAATGATAAATTCAAATTGGTTGGTCTGTCAAACGCGTTTCGGAATTTCACGATCTTCACTGTGTCTGTGGACGTCAAGATTTGAGATAGAAAGACGTTTGACGGGAATAAGACAAAGAGCTACTACATCACCCATTTTAACAACATTAACCCCAAAAATGCACATAATGAAAGATAATGCAGCCGAAGTCACGATAGTTCAAGTTGTAGAGTAGCGGCGTATCTAGCCGAAGGTCGTGGGTTCGAATCCCGCTCGTGACACTAAATTTTTTATCTCAACTATTAATTGAAAGATATTAATTGGTCAAGCGGACCACGAAAACTAGTGAAGATAATTTGAACTTTTTTTGACATCCAGGAAGCCATGCTGACCTGACAGTAAAACTTGAAATATGGTTGTTTTCGATCATCTTGGTCAACCAATCCTCGTTGATGTAGGATGTTTCATCTTTATCTCCAGTGTATCCGTGATTCCTGTGAAGTCGAGTCTTGGAGACACAGGGGAAAAAGCCAAGAAAAAAGATCTGGTGTGATTACTGAATTTAGATACATTTCGTAGAATGTATGTATGCAGTTTTAATTGGTTCCTCATGATCAGAAGATATTTTTTGAACTGTATGCATCGCATTTAACAAGGAAGAATATTGTCCTGGTATTAAAATGGGATTCAAATCTCAGCATAATTTTAACTTTTTTCTCACTCAGGAAGAAACGCTGATCTTTAGATAACTAGCAACTTTCATTTTGGTGTGCTCATTGCTGGGTTGGGCTGCCAGAAGAGTTTCGGCATTTCGCCATCTTCATTGTGTCTATGATTTGTCGAGTCTTTGAGACAGAGACGTCTGACGAGAAAAAATTAAATAGAAAAGATTACAAAATATCTGGTGTGAATGCTGTATTTCGGAGGACGTATGCAGTTTTGATTGGTTCCTTATAATCAGCATTTTATTTTAACATGGTACAATGTTGTTCTGATATGAAAATGAGGTTGTAAAATTGAGGTTCTAACCTTAACATGTAACGATAATTAGACCTTTAACCAACAAACAATTTGAAATTTGGTCCTTACAGACCATTTTATTTTGGTCTGTCTATCCACTCTGGGTTGGTCTATAAAGATACATCTCGCCCTGTTCAGTTTGTCTATTCAAGTGATAACAGAATTACAACTACAAAAACTCTAGGTCAGATTTTAATTCTTTCTTAATCATTAGGTAATCTAATGTTTTAAACTGAAACTAACTCAATAATATACAGAACAATTATTCGGAGATCGTGAGATATGGTTGGCAGGTTTTTCTGAAACCTACATCACACCCGACCGCATCTCACGATATCTGAATAACTATCAATTAACGGTCACTAATCTCTACACTTTTCGATCTTTATTGAGATCATTTTCTCTATACAGAACATTCCAAATTTACAGTAGATCAACACACATTGAGATATTAAATATATATTAGAGACACATTGAAGATGGCGAAATGCGTCTGACAGACCAAAACGTAATGACCAAATTGCATGCTCATCACCCACCTGGCAGATCAAATTTCGAGTGCATCTGCTTTTTATTTTATACAAAAATTTTAAAATCGTACTTTCGAATCTATAAATTTGTATACGCGTTTGTATAAATGAGGCTAATTTTGCGTATAGTTCTCTCTAGATAGAATTACCGTTTGGGATTAAGCTTAGTGGTTTGTTTGGAATTATTGAGACGAATAATCCGGATCTTGAAATGATCCGGATGGAAAAACAAATTGTTTTTAATGGAATTTTTAAGAAATTCACAACCATTCCATCAAATCATTATTGAAGAAAGGCCCCCAAAAATCGATTTCTTCAATAAAAGATTTGATGGAAGGGATGTGAGTTTCTTAAAAACTTCATTGAAAAAACAGAAATAAAATAACAACTAAAAGAAAGAAGAAGACAATAACAATTCAATTGTTATCTTTCAAGCTTTCGACCTATTTTGAGGTTATCAGGGCCTATATTAATTAGAAATTCTTTATACCATTAGTACTGTTACTTTAACAATTAATATAACTATATAGACATACCATCAAGATCATTTGTGAGCAAAAAAGTGGTCGATACATCTGTCAATTTAAACAGAAATGACAGAAACTGTCATCTTTGATCAAAATCAATCAGTGATCATCCTGACTTGGAAAAGATTGAATTTATAAGAATCTGAATTTTGTAAAGTGTATATAACGAATGCTCAGAAAAATGTTTAGATTTAAATTTTAAAGAAACTCTCTCCTGTTTAGACGATCTAGAAAGTTTTAACGTTTCAGCAACCCAGATTTAATTTTGGCAGAGAGCAAAGCGCGGAGCTTGCGTTTTGTAAGGGATCAAGGGATATCCGGCTGAATTAATCAGGACTCATCGTTAAACATTTTTTCTTCATTAAAAAAATATTTTCCCCTCAGCAAATAATTTATTTTGCTATTTTTCCCGGAAGACAAATTTATGACGAAATTTGTTTAGTTGAAATCTATTCATTTATTTTTGTGGGGTCTATTTATAAAAATTTATCCTTCATCCATCGATAATACGTAAGAGTATAAAGTCTTTTGTTTTTTCTAGTTGTAATAGATTATAGAACCTCTCAATGGTAAATATCATTAAATGTGGGTTATTCCGAGATTATATCTTTACAGTCTACAGATTTTGGGCAGTCTCATCATTTAAAAGTTTTAGAAAAGCCTATTTTTATTTGATTAATTTATTTAATTTTACAATTGTGAACACAGCCTTCAGACTTTTTATCTTAGTGAACAATTAAATGTCATAAGTTAAACGGTATTGCAAACCATTACCATTTCCTTTTAACCACCATTTTTACACCGTAATTTTATCTTCACGTTTAAAAATTAATTTTAATTAAAGTTTAAATCAAACTGTATAAAATAAAACGAGACGCCTGAAGAAAATTATAAATCAAATTTATATACTTATAAAATACCTGCAGGTTTTTAGTTTACCACTATTTTATGGATTAACAAATATTTTATTTTGATTGTGTGCTGTGGTTGGAATTAGTTATGTGTTGTATCAATGGTCGAAAAGTTTTGTTTATAATCACACCTGAAAATGCAACGATAAGGAAATAAATTTAAAAAAAATGTATTGTTTAAACAAATTCCTTTGACGAGTTTTATCAATCAGATGTTATTTCAAATGCTTGAAGAATTTCTAAAACAAGGACAATTTACGAACCTGGGCTCACTAATTTTAAAGAAACTATTTAAGTGATGCTAGATCGCAAAATATTAAGTATGTATCCATGGGATCTTGCCCTTCTCGGAGCCTATTTTTTTCCTAATACAGATGCTTTGTTGTGCATGTATTCCAGGTTCAATATAATACAAATTATTATGATTATTTGGAGATTGTGAGATTTCGGTACTGTGTGAAAAGAAACTTGCATCGGCTATCAATCATCAATACTTTTTTGTTGCAGACAACACTAGTCCCTGAAGGTGATCTCAATAAAGATCGAAACGTTGGCACAATAAAGAAAATGTTTTTCTAAAACCTACGTCACACCAGACACTCATGATTATTCATAATAATTATTATATTATATCAATCGATTTTTTTTGTACACCTACGATAATAAATTAATATGCAAGATCGTATTAAATGAGGCTAGATATATAAAAAGTTACAAAAATGAAAAGATACATACTGTAAAGTAGGTAATATTTTAAAAAACATTGAAGAACACACTCACTCCACCATTTATCATTTCTATCTGTAAAACAGATAGGCCAACAAAATTTATTTTCGAAAGAAATTGAGATTCATTTCAAGCACCCTGAAGCCCTCTTAAATACGAATTTTCATCGCAAACATTTTTGGGCAGAATAATTTTTTCGCCGATGTCCTGTTTTACACTTAAAAATTTCGAACTCCTCTGAATTTTATCCAAATTGAACAATATTACAACCCTTGGGCAGTAGAGTATTTCTTCTTTCAGGCTATCTGTTGAAAAATGTTTAGATTTTACCCTTAAATACGTATTTTTATGGCCAAAAATAAAAATAATCTGAGCTTGATGGGCGAGGCGTCCTGATGTTCCACTTAAAAAGTAATAACTCCGCTGGATTTTATATTTTTTACGAGGTCATATAAACCCTCAGGGTACCAGTGTTTAAAAAAAAGAAAAGCCCATTTGTAAGTATGTCGGGTTCGAATGCAGGGCGGATGGATTCGAACCCAGGACCTTTGCCTTACAGTGATGAGCGCCGAGTCAACGCCTAAACCGTTGCGGCCACCGACGTCCCTTTAAACCTATGTTAACAATGTTTACATTTTATGCCATTAAAAAAATGTATAAATAAAAGAAAAAAATGTTGATTGTATTAAAAAAAAATAAATGTGTAAATAAAATTTAAAAAAAGTGTAAATAAAATTAAAAAATTTATAAATAAAACATGTACTTATTAGAACAAAATGTAACTTTGACGTTGTAAACACTGTTTTTTACTAC